AACCCTAGTGCCTCCTCGTCTCACGCAAATACAGCGTTTTCCCCGTCATCAGCCGTTCCGCGTCCGATGGTTCGACTACAAACGTGCTGCCCTGTCCTGCCTTCTACCAGCTGTTCACATCAAGATCTATTGCGACTTACACTGCTCAAAATCGCTTGCGACATACCTGCTGGCTCCACATCGACTACCGTTCGACCGGTTCGCCATTTGCCGTGTCGTGCCTTTTTCGGCGAGATTTTAATCCCCCTCAGCGTTCGTGATAGTGCGGAATTCTGCGCCCTCACCCGGCCCCCCTCGCCAACCATAACTGATCATCAACGAAGTTGTAACACAACGGAAAGGCTCTAGGCTCTACTACCCTTTTCGTCCAGTGTGGCCCCGCCCGTTTTAGAACCGGCCAGCACCATGCACCTCCACTTTGGCGGTAGTCGCTCCTACAGCCACCCGTCAACGCCGCGATCGCGCCGCCATCCCACGACGCAGCGCGTGCACCACGCGCCGTCGCAGCAATGACCCTTCGCCGCGAATCTCATGCTCGCTGCGCTCGCTCTGCTCGCGGCGTGTGTCGCGCTGCGGCCCGACCAGATGCTGCGGAGATTCACGTGCCGCGGCTGTCTCGCCGCGTCCAGCCTGCCTAACACGACCTCGTTCTGATCGCCGAGGTGCGTGCGACGCCCCTGTCGCGCACTGTGTCGCCCGCTGCGTCGCCCACTGATTCCTTGAAATTGCGAGAGTTCACGAAACACCTCTGTATCTTGACTAGGCCTTACCCTCCCCTCTCTTCCTCCCCCCCAACCCCGTTTCCCCTCCCCTCCCTCCCCACCCCACCCCACTCCGCTCCGCCCTGCTTCCCCATCGACCAGTCGCATCTAAGCTCTCACAATCTTCAGTCTGCCCTCCGTCTCACTGCGCACGAAGCAAGCACCTTTCCACAACCACAACATTCTCTCTCCCCTTTCTCCCCACTCTCCCCCCTCTCCCCACTCCCCTCTCCCCTCTCCCTCACCCCCTCCCCTCTCTCCCCTCCCCGCTCCTCTCCCTCTCCTCTCGCCCCTCTCTCCCACTCCCCAGGGCAGCATGGCAGCGCGGCTGGTGGCGTTGTGCGGAATGGAGGCGCTAGCAGTGGCGGCGGGGTTCTCGCTCAAGGTGCCCTGGCTCACAGACGCGCCCGTGCACGCCGCTCCCTTCTCGCTCTTCTCCCTCCCCGCCAACCCCAAGATCTCCAAACCAGCCGGAGGTGAGTGACGGATGGGGGGGAAGTGGGGAGAAGGAGGAGAGGAGAGAGGGGGAGGGAAGGGATGATTTGGCTGGGTGGGCCTCTTTATGGGCCTGGGTTTTTGTCTTTCAGCCTTTCTCTATTTTTTTGCTACCCCGCGCCTTACACCCTGCATTCATTCATCCCTCCACCCTCCCTCTCAACCTCCCTCTCCCTGTCACAAACCCCCGCCTTCCCCTTCCTGTCACAATAACTCTCTGCCTGTCTCTCACGAGCCATTCTTTCTCCCTTGTCTTCCTTTAACCCGCTCCTTTCCTTCCCTCGTCCCCCATCCCTCTGACGCATGCGTGGCATCAGGTGGGCAGTGGAGGACGTGTCGCCTGAGTGTGTGGCAGGGCCGCTGCTGCGGTCCCCACCACACGGCTTCAAGTACAAAGCAGTAAGGCCCTGGGGAAGGGACTGATTGCATGCAGGCATGCAGGACAGTAGGCTGCTTCCGATGCTGTGCACATAGATTGCCCTTTCAGGCCGAGTTAGCGTTGCAATCACCCCGCTTTAGCTGTAACCGTCAGTCGAACGTGCGATGCCATGCGAACACCCACCGTTCAATTTCTGGATCGTAACGCCCAATCGAAACGATAATACTGCCAAGTGCTCGGAGAAAACCGAGTTTGGGAAGCCGCTAAAGTGTTCGCGTGCAAGCGAGAGCTGGCTGAAACGCAGTAAAGCAGAATGCGTGCAGCGGCGTAGAAGGGAGAGTCGAGAAGTGAAGGGAGAGGGACGGGAAAGCGCTTGAGCTTGAAAAGGGCAATGTGGAAGTGACGTGGGGATTAGAGCTTGATAGGAATTTGGCGAAAAAAAAACCTAACCAAAGTCGCTGAATAAAGGCTAGGCCTGGACTAGGTAGTGGTTGTGTGTAGGTCACTAACCTCTCCTGCATTTGGTTTGATCCGGAGTCTCATATTTTCAGGCTGTGGTAATACGCTTGCTTCTCTGTGTTTCCCTTCGTCGCACAAGGTGGTGTTTTCCACGCACATACGTTGGTTAGTCGTGCATCTGCCTTGCCCAACCTGATGGGGCTGCAACCAATCACAGGGGCTCAGGACGCGTCACAAGTAAAATATCGAGGAAGGATCAGGGTTGTTCACCGAACCTGTCAAACCGATCGCCATATCGGTGTGTCACGACTGCTTTGAAGTTTCAAGTGACACGATCGTAAAAACATGGGGCAAAATTGCCCGATGTGGACGAAATTGCACGATCGATGTGTGACAGGGGCACATCGATCGCCTGACTTAGAAGGGAAAACTGTACGTTAGCGAAAATAAACGAAAATGTGTAACCACCTAAACACCGATTCTAGGCAGGATCGATGTTCTACTTGTGACGCGTCCTCACAATCGAACCCAACAAAGTTGCGACTGATTTTGTGGTTACCCGGTTTCGAGCGTATTACACTTGGTTGGAAGGGAAAAATATGAGACGCGGGTTTTAATGCTTGATGTGACAGACAGGAAGTTTAGGCTGGGAGGGGGGCTGTGTACCTTCTCAAATGAAGTACATGTTTATGTCTAATCGGAACACTTGTTTGCCAGATCACGAGGAAATTCGTCCGAGGAACAGTCTCGCTTGCCCGCAAAACTTGAGGGTTGAACTGGATCATCAGGGGGTGGGGAGGAGATTCCCTTTTGCGGCGTGGACGAGATGCCTGCACCGACGCAGCATTCTCGTAGATGAAGATTGACAGCCTAAATTCTAGGAGGTGTTGCCGTTTTTCAATTCCCGAGACAACCCCAGGGCTGGATTGGTTACACTTCCCCTAATGATGGTCGTCCATGCGCTGACGTGTAGTTTTTTTGCAGTCACTCGGCTCCCCCGCTCCCTTGTGCGTGTGGCGATGTCGGGGAGAGGGCAGGCGGAGAGGCGCCCGTTTCCTGATTTTTCCAACCCACGGACGGACCCTTGTGTTGAACTCTCCACGAACGGATTGTGATTTTTAGCTACAGTAATTATTTGGGTGCGGAAAACGAACGGTGGATGGATGAACCCTTCTATCGTCTTCTGTTGCGGTTGTTGGCTGGAGGGTTCGAGAGAGTCGACACCTGGGAGAGGAGGTGCACCCGATTTGATGATGGCTGGCGGAAGTTTTTTTTTCTGGGAGCAATCAAGGAACTGCTGAAGCGCACATCCGCGCAAAGCATTGGCGCGCTGAGAACGTGCGGAACCTGCATTAGCAGGCGATCAGCGCACAAACCCCAAAGCTCGCTCGCTCAGCTCCCTGCCCCAAGGACTACCTTATCTCCTGTCTCACCCATCACTCTCCTCCTTTTCATGTCTCCCCAAATCAGGGGCTATGGAGCTTCCGTAAGTAAGCCTTGAATCAGTTCCTTGTGGCCAAATTAGTTCAGTCACTATGTTCCTCTAGGTTTACCATTACTGGATAAGACCATGGACGGCTTCCGTCCTCCTTCTGCCTCTTCCACCCTCTGTCCTGGTGGGCGGGGGGTCCTCTCAACCAAGGCTGTCCTGCAGCCGCCAGCTATATGATTTCAGTGGGTCGGCTTTGCCCATGGGGCAAGCTTGGGAGGGGTCGGGTGAGATGGGTCCTGGATTCGCCTCTAAGCAGCATCAGTGGGCAAATCAGTGCCCTTCCACTCTGCAGCAGCAGCAGCAGCAGCAACCTCGGCGTCGGCGGCAGCAGCAGCAGCAGCAGCAGCACGAGCAGCAGCAGCAGCAGCAGCAGCAGTTCCAGGAGCAGCCTCCAGTCCAGTCAGGCGTTAGCTATGTGCCTACTAGATCTGAGTGCTTGCTAGCTACTGGGCAACCGGCCCCTCCTCAACTACCCACACCGTCCTCCCTCCTCCCCAGCGTCTCATCTGCTTCCCTCTGTCCCCCTTCCCTCCCCCAAGGTCAATCCCCTCGTTGGTCCTCCGCCTTCGTTTCTTTGCCGCTGTCGTCCGTCCCCGCGTTTACCTCCTCGCACGATCCCTCCCTTCCTTCCGGAAACCCTAGTTCCTTTGCGTCCTCTCACGTCGTTGCGTCGTCGAGTGTCGCGAGTCAGGTGCCGCCAGGCTCTCGTCAAGTGTCAGCTACTTCCTCTGCTTTTGTTCGTTACCGTCGGCCCTCCTCGCTGCGTGAATTGCCTCCTTGTCGCGCGAGTCAGGCAGTGACCCCTGCTCTTCGCCTGACCGTCGGCCTTCGCTCTTTTTACGGTGGAATAGCTAACGCAGCTTCATCGCGTTCCAAGATAATTTTCCAGCAGCAGCAACAGCAACAGCAGCAGCAGCATCAGCAGTTGGTAGCACCAAGCACAGCTGCTGTGCAGTTTTCGGGGTTTGTAGGAACTTTAACGGGGAATAATTTCGTGAATAGCTCACTTAGTCCTCACGGCGACGTTTTGAATCTGCAAGCGACTGGTTATTCTGCAGCAGCTGATCCGATGGCAAGCGGTGTTGGTGTCACAGGCCCGCCTTGGCACGGCTCTTACGTGGGGTGGGCTGGCAGCAAGCACGGTGACGCAGCCGTTAGCGGTTACATGTCAACAGCAGGCGATGATTGTTCGAGCCCTTATTATCCGGAATCTGCGGGTGTTAATCACGATGGTTGTTACATCAGGTATTCCGACTATACTCTCCCCGAAGGCCAACTTCACGTTGGTCCGCATCTCCCGCTCCTTGCCGGCCGCTTTCGCTTCCTCCAGTCGCTCTCCGAAGGCGGCTCGGCGCGCGTGTTTGTGGCAGAGGACACGTGGCATCCGTCGCAGAGGACGGTGGTGGTGAAGGCGATGCATCGCCACTATCGCGAGGTGGGGCTGCAGGAGCAGCAGCTGCTGCGCTTCCTCAACACCATCGTGGATCCCAACGATTCCTGCCGCATCGTGCGTCTCCTCGCGGGTTTCGAGTTCCACGGCCACACGTGCCTCGTGTTAGAGCGCCTGCAAGGCAGTCTGCTCGAGCACATGTGCCGCCCTGCCGACTCTCCCGGCTCCGCTGCCGCCGCCGCCTCCGCCGCGAACGCCGCCGCTTCCGCGGCGAACGTCGCGGCAGTTGCGGTTGCGGCGGCGGGGATGACGTCGGGCTCGGGTAAGTCGGCGGCAGGAGGGGCGAGCGATCTGGTTGGGGCGGCAGCGGCGGCCGTGTCGGCGGCGGCGACTGCTGCAGAAGCGGCGGCGGAGGCGGCGGCGGCTCGACTGGAGGAGATTCGCAGCCTGGCTCACGATCTGATCGTGTCCATCGCGGCGCTCCACGCGTCGGGCATCATTCACGGGGATCTCAAGCCGGAGAATATCCTCATGCAGCCGCTCCCGTACCCCCATTCCCCACCTCGTGTGTCGTCTATCTCTGATCCGTACGGCCGTTCCGACGCGTCTGATTCTTCTCCATTTTTCTCCAACACCTCCACCTCCTATCGTGTCTCCCCCGGCGGTACCGTATCGGCAGCTGACCCCGGTTACTCGCAGTACCCTGCGTCGCTTGGGCTCGTGTCCGCCTCCTCTGTCGGCGATCTCAATGCGTCGCCGTGGACGGGTGTTGCGACGGGTTCCCAGGCGAAAGCCGCAACGGGAGCGGAGGGATTGATGGCGGCAGGGCGCTCGTCATCGTGGCGCAGCGCGCACGATTCGGGGGCGCCGTCGGGTTACCCGCTGGCCTATAGCGGCAGCAGCGGCGGCGCTAGCAGCCGTGGAAGCGCGGGGGCGGCGGTGGCGGCGGTGGCGGCGGCGCCGAAGGTGGCGGCGAAGATCGCGGATTTCGGCAACTCGTTCACGCCGGAGCAGATCCGCACGCTGTGCCACGACTACAACGTGCAGACGCTCGCGTACCGCGCGCCCGAGGTGCTGCTCGGCGTGCCTTTCTCCGCCGCCATTGACCTCTGGTCGCTCGGGTGCATTCTCGCGGAGCTCGCGACGGGGCAGCTGCTCTTCGCGTGCGAGTCCCCGCAGCACCTGCTGCAGCAGATGGTTGCGCTGCTCGGCGTCGCCCCGCCCGCGTGCCTCTTCGGCTCGGGGAAGTTCTTTCCGAAGCTCACGGCGGCCGCGGGCGTGCCGCGCGTGTGCTGCTGCAGGACGGAGGCCGGCGGCGGGATGGCGGCGTGCTTCCGCGGGTGCAGCGGAGGTGGGGGGAGTGGTTGGTATGGCGGGGTTGCGGACGGATGCAGTGGGTACTGCGCGCCGATGGCGTTCAACATCTTCGCTCCTGGGTACGTCTGCTAGTGCCTTCTAGTTTCCCTAATGCGTTTGCGACCCACTCGCCCCCCAAGATCTCACACTCCCATGCCTTTCTTCCCTCTTCCGCATGCTTCCTTTTTTTTCGACGTGTAAACGCTCTCTTTTTTCGTCCCGTTGTCTCGTGCCCCTCGCCCCCTCCCCCTCCCCCTCCCCCTCCCCCTCCCCCTCCCCCTCCCCCTCCCCCTCCCCCTCCCCAACTTCAATATCTTTGCTCCTGGGTGCGTGTGCTCGTGCTTTCTATTTTCCACGAAGCGCCTACGACCCATTTTTCTGTCCCTAAGTCTACACACCCTCTCCTTCTCTCCGTGTTCTATCGCGTGCAACCATATTTTGTGTGTGTTAGTATAACGCGCTTATTCTTTTGTCCCGCCGCTTCCCCCCCCTCTTCCTCCCCACCCCTTCTCCGCGCAGCCACTCGCACCTGGGGGACGCGCTGGCGGCCGTGGACGCGCAGCTGGCGGATCTCGTGGCGGGGCTGCTGCAGTACGACCCGCGCGTGCGGCTCTCCGCGCAGCAGGTCTGCGGAGTGGGGGCAGTCTCGGGGGAACGGGGGGAGTATGTGGTGGAGTACTGAGGGGCTGTGTATGGGGTGAAGGAAGGGGAGTGGGTGAGGCTGGTCTGAGGGATTGTGACAGGAGTTAAAGGACGGTGTTTGATTCTTGCTCGTGTTGAAAAATATTTTGAACAGCATAGACATCTAACCTCACCTGGCTCCTTTGTTTTGCGTGTCCGTTCTTCGTATTCTCTTCGCTTCGTTCCAGGCGCTCTCGCACCCTTTCCTGAAGCCGCTGCGCAGCTCCTCCTCCTTCGCCTCCTCCTCCTCGCTCTCTTCCAAGGACTTCTCGCACCCTCTCACTCCCTGCACTGTGCTCCCCACGCCCGCCCTCGCCTCTCCTCTCACCCTCTACTCCTACCACCCCAACATGCATACCATGCCCGTACCGTCTCTCCTCCTCCCTCCATCCTTCACCTCTGGTTCCTCCTGGGCCGTTCCCACTGCCGACGCCGCTGCTGTCACGCCAGTGGGGGCGGCGGCGGCGGCGGCAGGAGCAGGGGGTGCGGGTGGGCACGCGGGAGCTGCTGGGGCGGCGGGTGCGCTGCGCGCAAGAGAGGAGGGCGTGGGTGTGAGTGCGCTGGAGGGCGGTCAGCAGGGCGCGGGTTCTGGTCCGCAGGGGGCGCATGGGCTTTGGTCGTTGCAGCAGGCAGCAGCGGTATCGCAGGCGGGAGCAGCAGCACCGTGCAAAGTCTCTATGCAGCAGCAGCAGCAGCAGCAGCAGCAGCAGCAGCAGCAGCAGGAGGGAGGGCATGGACAGGACCGTGTTTCAGCATGGGGCGGTGTGATGGATGGTCCGGGAATGGAAGCGAGGAACGGAGCAGCAGGCGAGTCACAGGATCTCTACGCGGCAGCGTCAGCTGCAGCGATGGCGGATGCAGCAGCAGCAGCAGCAGCGGCAGGGATGAGTGCAGGGGCGAATGGGGACATGAGCGGAGCACATGGGTGGTGGAGCGAGGGGTTGGGTGGGGGTCCGTGGTATGGCGCACAGCAGGGTTCCGGCGCGGGCGCTGATGCTGGCCCTGCTGCGGCTGCTGGGTCTTCTGAGATGGTCGCGGCAGCAGCTGCTGCCGCTGCATTGTCCGCGGCTTCTGCAGGTGCCGCGGCAGCAGCTGCAGTGGCAGCGCATGAGGTTCAGGCGTTGCAGCAAGCCATGTCGAACAGTGCAGCGGCAGCTGCAATGATGAGCTGTTATGGATACGGGATGGCAGGGAATCAGGAAGGTGCGTACCTGCATGGCGGAGCGGCATTCACGCCCGAGGGTGTGTTTCTCCCGCACTCCCACCTTGTTCCTTTGACCCCGGACCACCTCTCCCTTGGCCCTCCCGCGCCCGCCGCAGCAGCGCAGACCCACGCGCACTGCGGGGGATTTGCGCCTGGTTCTGCTGGCGCGGGTGCTTCCGGGCATCCCAAGGGCCTGGTGTTTGAGCCTCTGAGTCCCGTGGCAGGCCGCGCGGGGACGGGCGGTGTGGGCGAGCGGGATGCACGTGGGCTGGTGGGCGTGGGGAGTACCGAGCTGCTACTGGCGCCGATGACTCCCTGCCAGGTCAGGGAGGGACACGTGGTGGGGTGGAAGAGTGTCGCGGCGTCTGGGAGGAAAGCGGGAAGGGGTGCAGGCGCAGGGACAGGGACAGGTGCAGGGGCAGGAGGTGGAGCTGGGGCAGGGACGGGTGCAGGGACGGGGCCGGAATCAGGAGCAGAAGTTGGTACGGGGATGAGCTATGTTGAGCAGATGTATGCGGTGTATGAGGCGCAGCAGGGGAGTGCGCATCAATACGTGGCCAGTGGTTATGAGGGGCAGCAGCAGCAGCAGCAGTATGTTCAGTACTCTCAGCACGGGGAGTATCAGCACGGGGAGTATCAGCAGCAAGTGAAGCTTCTGCAGCAGCAGCAGGAGCAGGAGCAGCAGCAGCAGCAGCAGCAGCAGCAGCAGCAGCAGCAGGAGAGGGCACAGCAGCATCGTGGGCTGATGGGATATGCCAGTGGGTTGTGTGGCATCAGCAGCAACGCCAGGGATAGCTGGACACATCAGGAAGCATCTTTTGCGGGGGAAGCGGGTGCAGCAGGGGCAGCAGCTAGGGTGTGTGAGGAGGAGAGCAAGTGGGCGGGGGGGAGGATGGGGGGCGCGTGTGGAGTGGAGTACAGTGAAGCACCATGGCTTGTTGCGCATGGCAGCATGGGCGGGTGCGCCCCTGCCACTGTCAGGTATGCCATGTAAGGAGATGGAAGCGGTGACTGGGAATGGGAACGGGACTCACTCGTGAGTATCTGTTTGGTTTCAGTTGTCATTAATAGGGCCTGAACTGGTTTTAAAGTTGGGAGGTGCGGGTGGAGAGACGATGATGAGGAGTGGGGGCAGTGGGGTGCTGTCACGGGCAGATGAGCATCTCTGATTGTGCCTTTTCCCCTTTGTTGACTCTTTGTGGCTCAGGCTTGGTTGGTGATGGCCTTAGCGCAGCAGGCGGCAGATTGGGCTGTGGGGACTGCTGGAAGACCAGGCAAGGCATGAAGGGCTGTAGCAGGAGCTCTGCACTGCGTGGTTCTTACCTCCATGTGTTGTGTCGCTGCTGTCTTGTGGCGTTTCTCAGCTCTCTGCTGTGACTCTGTCGTGACAGAAGACTGATGCTGCATGAGCGTAATGTCTTCACGCGTATCTGCTATGTGTCTGCTTGAAGTGAACCTTGTAAGGATTTGCTGAGTTCATTCTCAGTCAGCACTATCTCCTGCTTCGCCTGCCCTTTTTTCCACCTTCCGATTACCTGTCCTCTCTCTCTCTCTCTCTCTCTCTCTCTCTCTCTCTCTCTCTCTCTCTCTCTCTCTGTCTCTCACTCTCTCTCTCTCTCTCTCTCTCTCTCTCTCTCTCTCTCTCTCTCTCTCTCTCTCTCTCTCTGTCTCTTATCGCCTTAAGTACAACAGTCAATGGGAGTGCAGGTGTGGGCAAAATGGATGGGGAATGGGTGGGTAATGGGTGGGGCGAACAAAGTGAGGAGTGAGGGTGGGGCGGCGCAACTCAGCAGTGGAAGGTAACGCTGACGGGAGTGCAAATCGATGTAGGCTGAGGGAGGTGAGAGTTGGGTGGGTTGAAGTGGGGGATTGGGGGAATGAGAGAAGCGAGAAAATGTAATTCGGTGGGGTGGAGTTGGTGAGATGAGGAGTTAGGTGGGCTTGGGAGAGGGGGGAGTTTGAGTTGGGTGGGCTGCTGCGACTGGCGAGAAGCGGGAGTTGGGTGAGCTGGGCTACGGTGCACTAGAAAAGGGAGTTAGATGGTTTAGGGAGGGGAGAGTGAGTTTGAGCAGGTGGGCGGGCGATATGAGACAGTTGGCTGGGCAGCGTTGAAGCCCGGTGGGGGAGTTGTGACCTCCTGTTTGTGAGGCGTGAGGGATTGGTAGATTTTGGTTGCATCGCATCGCATCGCATGGTTAACAAAAAGAGGTGAAATGTTATGAGGGGTTTGTTTGGGTTGGGAGAACGCTAGAAGAATGTTGGGATGATGGGAGGATGAAAGGGGGCGGTGGAGAGGGGCTGTACCTAAGAGAAATTGGTGCTGTTTAGGTTTTGTTTGGAGGGGTGCTTGTCTTGATGGAGAGAAGAAGCAGGGCTCTTTTATCAGATTCGATCTGATTTTCAGAGTTGATAAGGGAAAATACTGAAAAGTGTGAGTGATATGTTCTTTCTGAGTCCTAACAGGGTTTCCATACGGCAGATGTTACTTGGCATGTAATCCACCAGCAGGCCTCTGGATAGGATTTGGGGTACTCTTCCTCGTAAGGCCAACACCCAGCTGTTACTCTTTCAGTAAGGGTGCTTCACAGGAACTGCTCTTAAAAATCAGGGTGCAAACAAATTAAAGAAACTGTCGCATTGTTTTGCTGAGATTACTATGTAGGGTGTTAGTGTTGCAGTGTGTTGAGTCATCGTTGTTATGTGGAGGACCCAAGATTGATACCTATCGGAGTCAACTGCCGTAGGAAATGTGTTTTACGCGACCAATCCTGGTATCCTCTCTTAGATCGAACTCGATTTCATCAGTGCTACTACACCACATAGCTCTGAAATATCAGTGTCATACAATCGATCACTTTTTTTGGTAAGGGTCGAAAACAAAACCAGTCTTGTAAAAAAGGGTGCATCGTAAAACCCGCCCTTATAGTAAGGGTCATAAGGGTGAATCACCCTGATATCGAGAGGCCAGTCCACCAGGCATTCTTGGTTAGATTGCCACAAGGAGCTCTTTCCGGACTGTAGTCATGAAGAACAATGTCGTACTATTGAAGCACTAGCTTGAGCGTGGATCAAGAAACCTTCTTCGGGGGGCATTAATGGGCGTGTAAAACCACACCAATGGATAAACAAAAAAGAAGGCATAGATGATATACTTGCATTGTATGGGCCTCCACTTTCGGGTGTACGCTATGGGGTGGAGTGTTTTGGTGGGATATTTGTGACATGTCGAAATGTGTTTTTATCACACGATCTAATTTGCAGCTTCCATATGGATGACTGACTGTACGTGTACACAAGTGCGCACCGAGCAGTCATGCGTTGTTCTGGTATGGGCGACGCCGCCATCCACACCAGCCTCCGTGCCTGGCCACTGCGGGTCTCGATTTGTCACGCCAAGAATCCCGACTCGAGGGTTCCAGCCAATTAAAGTTGTCCATGTCATAGCTTTAGGTGACTTGGCTTTACAGTCTGCCAAGAATCCCGACTCGAGGGTTTGAGAATGTGTTTCGTACACTTCGTCAACAAATTATTTGCTGCGCTGGCAAACCGTTTTCGTTTTTTTCTGTTAGGTCGAACTGGTGTAGGGGCGTGTAATTTCAACTTTGTTCAGGGCGCATCCCGAACGGCTCAACTCTGTGCAGTACACATGATGCCCAACCCCTGCACGCGAAAGTGCCTTACATGTTCCAGAAACCTTGCACGCGTGGGTTTTTTCCCGGGCAGTTGCACCCACGTTACAAGCACGTCGACCAATACGAACCACAGAAACTGAAGAGACCGAAGTCAAACAGTCAACGGTGAGTTACAAAATTTTGTTATAAGCCCTTTTTGCCCGAAGCGAATTGACGAAACCTCCTCGAAATGCAAGAATCACTTAAGAGCCCCCTTCACAAGGCAACCTTGGGTTAGTCAAACGGGCATCGTGTGTACCATTTAGCAGTTCAACTCATTCACAAAGGGAAAGAAAAACGTTTCTGGCAAATTTGAGGCAATTGACAAGGTTGGGCAGAAAATAAACTTCATCTGCCCACCAAACCTGAATGTGGAGCTCGCTTCAAGAGCAAGCCGCAGTGGATAAACTGTACTCCCACCCACCTACAAAGCGGGTGGCCGTATTTCAGGGTGGCAAAGGCCGTGCCAAGCAGAAGCACCCGCGCCGCCATTTCTGTAGAAAAGCGGCGCTCTCCTCCCCCACCATCAAGCCATTCCATTTCCATCAATCGAAATCCTCAAGCTCACAATTCTCTTGCGTGCCCCTTCCTCGTAACCTCTTGTTTACCTTTCTCGATATGGCCCGTGGGCTGTCGCAGCTCCTGCTGCTGCTTCTCATCACCGCCACATGGCCAACGACTCCTCTTCAAGGCGCCGAGGCGAAGGGATTGAGCCGGGCGTATTACAAGGACTCGTGCCCGTACCTCGAGACGATTGTTCGTGAGATCGTCATTGACGAGTATCGGAAAGATCAAACCGTTCCGGCACCACTTCTTCGCCTTCACTTCCACGACTGCTTTGTTCAGGTACGACTTTCTGGGTTTATCGGCTCGCTTATCGAATGCTCGCCTACATTGACACTCAAAGCGTCCTTTTCTCCTCATCTCGCCTGCGATCCGCAGGGTTGCGATGGATCAGTACTGCTGAACTCGACGCCGGGCAACAAGGCAGAGAAGGACGCCCCGCCCAACCTGTCGTTGAACGGCTTCAACATTATCGACCGCATTAAGACGGCGGTCGAGGCCAAATGCCCCGGCGTCGTCAGCTGCGCCGACATCACCGCTCTCGCCGCGCGCGACGGCGTCAACCTGGTGAGCGTTATGTTCAGTCGCTTTGCCGTGTTTTTTTCCCGACCTGCGCGCTGCATTTCCGAGACAGCCTGTTTTTTTCAGTCACAGATATAGCAGGTCGCTTTGATGCGGCTTCCACTCATTTGTAATCGACGCGTCCCCCCAATTATGCCGCTCTACACTGTTCACAATACCCCTCCATTTCTTTGTTTACGCTCATGGCTGTCGTGCAGGCCGGCGGGCCGTACATTAAGACGCAGCTGGGTCGCCGCGATTCGCGCACGTCGAAGGCCGCTCTGGCGGTGCAGTTTCTGCCCGGGCACCAGATGGACGTGAACGCGCTGCTCAACAACTTCGCCGCCATTAACCTCACGCTCGTCGACCTCGTCACGCTCTCCGGCGGCCACACCATCGGCGAGTCGCACTGCGACACCGTCGCGCACCGCATCGCGCCCAACCGTGACCCCACGATCGCGCGGTCCATGCGAAAGTATCTGGAGGGTCACTGCAAGGCGCCCAAGGTCGACGGCACCATTCCCGTCGTCCTCGACATCCGCACCTCTAAGCGGTTCGACAACCAGGTGAGCGACGCAGATGTGTACCACACCAATGAACAAAAAGCTTCACCCAAACTTTTACGCAGGTGGCGCCTGTTCTCAGCCTTCATATTGATACCTACTCTTCCCTATGCCATCTCCGCCCCTCGCTTCGCCCGCAGTATTTCAAGAACCTGCAGCGCAAGTTCGGGCTTCTGTCGAGCGACCAGGTTCTGATGATCGACCCGCGCACCAAGGACCTGGTGAACGAGTTCGCGGCCGACAAGAAGAGTTTCTTCCGCCACTTCCGCACTTCCATGGTCCGCATGGGCTCCTTCGGCGTGCTCACTGGCCGCAATGGCGAGATCCGCCGCACCTGCAGTGTCGTCAACTGAAACGGCGCGAGGATATGAGGGTTACTGGAGGGACTGCGTGTTGGCTTTGAATGGTGGTGGTTAGTGGATAGTAAACGTGCGCAGAGCCGAATTAGGAGTTCGGGGTGCTAGGATGCGTGAATGGTAGAACGATGAGGTGGCCGTGATGTATAATGTAGACGGAAATAAAGTCGTTGGGGGTGCAGATGATTGGTCTTTAATCCTTTTATTGCAAGCAGTTGTGACGAGAAAAATGAAACGCTACCTTGCAAGTGGTGTATTCCTTTCTCCCAGACAAGGCAAGTGGTGTCCAGCAGCGCTGTCCCGTCACATGGTGGGGAAGAGGAGTCATGTCAACGACTCCGTAAAGCCATCTCCAATTTCCGGTTCTGGTAGTTTCAAATATATATGTATCTGTTTCCTACGTACACTACTCAGGGTCACTAGCCCTTTCTACAGTGGCCCTGGTGGTTCCATGTTCCTCCGGTAACAAAGGGTGTGCCTCGCATAAGTACCCGCGGCGGCGTTGCTGTAAAAAGCGGCGCTTCCCATCAGCGATGCATTAGCTTACAGTATTGAATCCGAAGTATTTGACCAGAGCCCAGTTTCTTGTTCCTAGCTCCTTCCGACGCCTCTTGTTCGTTTGTTTGTCATGGCCCGTGGGCTGTCGCAGCTCCTTCTGCTGCTTCTCATCACCGCCACATGGCGAACGACTCTTCTTCAAGGCGCTGAAGCCAAGGGATTGAGCCGGGCGTATTACAAGGACTCGTGCCCGTACCTCGAGACGATTGTTCGTGAGATCGTCCTCGACGAGTTTCGTAAAGACCAAACCGTCTCGGCACCTCTTCTACGCCTTCACTTCCACGACTGCTTTGTTCAGGTACGACTTGCCAGATTTCTTTCCCCGCTTTTCACTGGTCGCCTACGTTTGATACCCAAGGCGTCCTTTTCTCCTCATCTCGAATTCGCTCCTCAGGGTTGCGATGGATCAGTGCTGCTGAACTCGACGAAGGGCAACAAGGCGGAGAAGGACGCGGATATCAACCTGTCGCTGAACGGCTTCGACATTATCGACCGCATTAAGACGGCGGTCGAGGCCAAATGCCCTGGCGTCGTCAGCTGCGCCGACATCACCGCTCTCGCCGCGCGCGATGGCGTCAAACTGGTGCGCGCTGCGTTGCTGGTACTTAACCAGCCTAGTTTCACCCGCCCACTCATAGTCGCTCAAATCGATGCGTCTTCTCCATTTTTTACTGAAGCATTCCCCTCGGATATGCCGCACGTGTTGCTTTATTGAAGCACTCGTCTTTTTTAACACCGTTCATTCTATCCCGCCTCTCGCGCCGTGCCCATGGCTGTCGTGCAGGCCGGCGGGCCATACATCCACACGCAGTTGGGTCGCCGCGATGCGCGCACGTCGAAGGCGGATATGGCGATGAAATCTCTGCCCAAGCACCAAATGGACGTGAATGCGCTGCTGCGTAACTTCGCCGCCATTAATCTCACGCTCCTCGACCTCGTCACGCTCTCCGGCGGCCACACCATCGGCGAATCGCATTGCGACACCGTCGCGCACCGCATCGCGCCGAACCGCGACCCCACGATTGCGCGGGCGATGCGCAAGTATCTGGAGGATCACTGCAAGGCGCCCAAAGTGGACGGCACCATTGCGGTCGTCCTCGACATCCGCAGCGCTAACCGATTCGACAACCATGTGAGCGACGTAGGAGCGTACCATTGTTCAACAAAGGATACCACGATACCTTTATTAACAAGGATTGCCGCACTCATGCGCAGGTGATCGCTTGCCCGCAGCCTTTCAGTTTGACTTGACACCTATTCTTCCTTTGCTATCTCTGCGTCCCATGCTCCCTCCGCAGTATTTCAAGAACCTGCAGCGCAAGTTCGGGCTTCTGACGAGCGACCAGGCGCTGATGATCGACCCGCGCACCAAAGATATCGTGAACGAGTTCGCGGCAGACAAGAAGAGCTTCTTCCGCCACTTCCGCCGCTCCATGGTCCGCATGGGCTCCTTTGGCGTGCTCACTGGCCGCAATGGCGAGATCCGCCGCACCTGTAGCGCCGTCAACTGACACGACAGGAGGAAACGAGGGTAATCGGAGAAACTGCGTGTTCGCTGTCAATTGTAGTGAATGATAGGGGAATGGGGTGATTTCGGATGTATACTGTAGATGGAAATAAAAGGTTTAGCCCGGTTCAGATGTTGTGGTATGGGACAACTTTCAATTACATACCTACCATAGTCAGAGCCTAGTCATGTGCTTCTCTGAAGGCTTTCCCTTCAAGGGCTGAAGCTGCGCGAGTGCTTCCTGACATGGCTAGATGTGTGGTAATGCAGTTGTGTCAGTGCTCTGCCATATCTTATGGCAGTGGCTCAGTAGCTACAGTAGCTCAAATGGTTAGCTGCAGGAGCATAGCTAGTGGATATCCAATACTCCATTCTTTCTGTTATACACCACATAAGGCATTTCCTGACAGACAGCAGTCAGTATCCTTGCATAGCAATGGCAGTAGCAGCACATGGGATGATAATCTGATGCAAGTGAAAAGCTACACGCATAGCCACAGACATATCATGCCACTCTACATAAATTAGCTTGGCACGGAAACCTTGCGTGCTACACAGTTCCTGGAGGGCCTGAGGTATCATAGCAGAACAAAGGGAGGAACAAAATAGTGCAGCACCAAAAGAGCAGGACAGAGGAATTATGTATTGATGTGTGTCTAAACATCTGAGTGTGTGTGCATGAGTGCGAGGAAATGGCAGCAACAGGGTGGAGCAGTGGCTTACGCATGCGCGCATATTCGTCGCGGTTGGTTCCCACAGCTGACGGTGCTGTTGACACCAGCAGGTCTGCATCGAGGAGAGTGTGTGTGGGAGGACATGGAAGCACAGCAACACAATCAGGATTGCAAGAGGTCATGTGTATAGGTCATGGTAGGAGCGTGGGGAGTGAGGCCGAGCGAGAGAAGAGAGCGAATGAGAGGAGGGCGGAGAAAAATGGAGATGGAAATGGAGTAAAGAGTGAGTGAGAGAATGGTCGTGTGAATGAACTGAGCGATCAGAGTGCCTGCCATCGATGCACTACACCATACCCTCATGGTCAGGCGAGTCGGGCTTGTGGGTGATGACGATGTATGCGAGGCCAGCAGCAGTGATGAGCACAATGAGCAGCCCGATCACAATGGCAGCTATGGCGCCCCCTGACAGGCCCTGGCTGCTGGGTGGCGCGGTGGTGACGTTGACGGGCCGGGGCGGCACTCGGACGTTTCCCCCATTAGGGGGGAACGGCATTGGTGGTCCAGATGATGAGGGGGGCGGTAGCAGCGGTGGCACTACTGGTGACGATGGTGTTGATGGCGGTGCTATCGGGCCTTTGAACGGGACAGCAAAGGGAGGATAGGGGGAGAGAGGGGTGGGGGAAAGTGAAACACACAGTTGAGCAGGAAAAAAGGAACCGAGGCGTTTGTTTGGAAAACAATAGGCAGAGGCCAATACTGTCACTGTTGGCTCTGATGCTCCTCCATCCCCTCCTACCACACAGTCACAGTTACACTCACAGTCACAGCCACAGTCAGAACAAGCCAGACGCAGTCAGTCAGAGTGAGAGTCAATGGGGGCAGACGGTGACGGCAGGTAGCAAAGGTGTGAATCGAAGGTGCGGGTAGAAGGTGCGGTGGGGTTGCTCACTCACCGCCCTGACAGAGCGTGCAGAACTGCAGACAGAAATCACAGAAGGCTGTATTCGGGTTGGGCTTAGCGATGCAGGAGAGCGAGGTGTTGGGGCAGAAGAGTGATGTGCCGGCCACGTTACTGGTGGGTAGACAAGGGAGGGGGGTGGTGATGAGCACGCGTGGTGATGAACAGGGAAGAGTGGGCGAAGGAAAGGAGGGAAGGGCGAGGGGGAGTGCAGGGGCAGAGGTGCTCACAACTCGTTGAGATTGGTGAGATTCCCCAGGATGGGAGGGATGATACCGTCAAGTCGAGCGTTGTTGCTCAGGTCACTGCATTGGGGGTGGGGGAGATGGATAGGCAGACGTGAAGGAGTGGTGGAAGAGTAGGTGGCAATGTGAGGGAGGGAGGTGCAAAGACAACTAGGGGTGGTGATGTGTGACGTGTGGTGTGTGACGTGTGATGTGTGACGTGTGATGTGTGACGTGTGATGTGTGACGTGTGATGTGTGGCTGATGCATGAAGATACGGGTGCAGCTGGTGCAGAGAGACTCACAGGAGTTCCAGCTGGTGCAGAGAGACTCACAGGAGTTCCAGCTGGTGCAGAGAGACTCACAGGAGTTCCAGCTGGTGCAACTGCCCGATCTGACGCGGCACGCTGCCGTTAAAATCGTTTTCGGCGAAGTTTCTGCAGAGAGAGAGATGCAGAGAGGCAGACATGCAGAGAGGCATTCAGAGAGGTGATGGCACGAATGGAATTGGAAGATACGGAAGGAGAGAGCATTCTGGCAGCGAGAAGAGGAGAGGGGGGGGGGGAGAAGGGAGACAGGAGAGGGGAGATCCGCGCAATGCATGGAGCAAGAATGCAGACGGTCACAGTCACAGTGATACGGCCAAGTACAGGAGGAGGAATGGGATGGCAGTGGAGGGCGGTGGGTGCTCAGACTGGCAGAGTGCAAGTTGTGAGTGATTTTTGAGAATTCTCAAGAATTGCTCACAAGGTATCAAGGTTCGTCAAGTTCCCAAGGAAGGCTGGCAGGGAGCCGTTGAAAATGTTCTGGGCCAGGTCACTGCAGGCACGCGGGGCACAGGGAGGAGAGCAGGGTAGAGGAGACGGAGACGACAGGGCACGGTCAGACGACAAACAGCAGTGAAAATGTGGGGGAGCAGGGGAAGATGCTGTGGGAAAGCGTGAGGGCGGGTAACGGCTTGGTGTGTGTGAGGGTGGGAGCTGACAGGAATCGCAGGTTGGAGAGGGCACTGAAGGACGCGGGGATGGACCCCTGAAATGTATTGTTTGACAGGTCCCTGCACACGCATACGGGGGGAGGGGCGAAGGGGAGGAGTGGGAGGGGAGGGCAGGGTGAAAGGCTTGGTCGCAAGGAGATGGCGCTCAGACTAAGGAATGGCATGCATGGCACGGTATGGCACGGAAGGGCATGGCATGGCATGGCACTGGTCACAGTAGCATGCGGCTTTGGATTCATGGGCTGACATATGGTGCCAAATGCAGTGCCATGTGGTGCCATGCGGTGCACTGACAGGCCCAGCAGCTGGTTAAGTGCGCCCAGTGTGGAAGGAATGGTGCCGTCCAGCATGTTGCTCCCCAGATAACTGCCGTGGGCATGTATGGACGGGGGGACATAGCGTGAGAATGTATGGGACAGCATGGAGTAGAGCACACGTGGACAGGAAAAGACGGCAGGTGCCGCATGTGAAGTAGCGGCTTCCTGACAGCAGATGTGCCAAAGAAAGATGGCAGTTCAGAGCACAAACAAAAAGGAGCACAGAAGATGTGTGTGCGAAGGGTTCTGGGGAAGGAAATTCACATGAACGTGACGAGCACAAGAAGAGGGCAGGCGGGGGCTGCGGGAGCAATGGGGCTGCGGAGCAAGCCAAGAGCAGTGAGGAGGAGATGCAGGTGAGTGGGTGCGAGGAGGGCGTTACATGGCTTGAATGTTGGAGAGGGTACCCAAGGAATCTGGCAGGGGGCCCGTGAGATTGTTCACTGCCAGTGCCACACACATGCCATGGGCCACACATGCCATGGGCCACACATGCCATGGGCCACACATGCCATGGGCCACACATGCCATGGGCCACACATGCCATGGGCCACACATGCCATGGGCCACACATGCCATGGGCCACACATGCCATGGGCCACACATGCCATGGGCCACACATGCCATGGGCCACACATGCCATGGGCCACACATGCCATGGGCCACACATGCCATGGGCCACACATGCCATGGGCCACACATGCCATGGGCCACACATGCCATGGGCCACACATGCCATGGGCCACACATGCCATGGGCCACACATGCCATGGGCCACACATGCCATGGGCCACACATGCCATGGGCCACACATGCCATGGGCCACACATGCCATGGGCCACACATGCCATGGGCCACACATGCCATGGGCCACACATGCCATGGGCCACACATGCCATGGGCCACACATGCCATGGGCCACACATGCCATGGGCCACACATGCCATGGGCCACACATGCCATGGGCCACACATGCCATGGGCCACACATGCCATGGGCCACACATGCCATGGGCCACACATGCCATGGGCCACACATGCCATGGGCCACACATGCCATGGGCCACACATGCCATGGGCCACACATGCCATGGGCCACACATGCCATGGGCCACACATGCCATGGGCCACACATGCCATGGGCCACACATGCCATGGGCCACACATGCCATGGGCCACACATGCCATGGGCCACACATGCCATGGGCCACACATGCCATGGGCCACACATGCCATGGGCCACACATGCCATGGGCCACACATGCCATGGGCCACACATGCCATGGGCCACACATGCCATGGGCCACACATGCCATGGGCCACACATGCCATGGGCCACACATGCCATGGGCCACACATGCCATGGGCCACACATGCCATGGGCCACACATGCCATGGGCCACACATGCCATGGGCCACACATGCCATGGGCCACACATGCCATGGGCCACACATGCCATGGGCCACACATGCCATGGGCCACACATGCCATGGGCCACACATGCCATGGGCCACACATGCCATGGGCCACACATGCCATGGGCCACACATGCCATGGGCCACACATGCCATGGGCCACACATGCCATGGGCCACACATGCCATGGGCCACACATGCCATGGGCCACACATGCCATGGGCCACACATGCCATGGGCCACACATGCCATGGGCCACACATGCCATGGGCCACACATGCCATGGGCCACACATGCCATGGGCCACACATGCCATGGGCCACACATGCCATGGGCCACACATGCCATGGGCCACACATGCCATGGGCCACACATGCCATGGGCCACACATGCCATGGGCCACACATGCCATGGGCCACACATGCCATGGGCCACACATGCCATGGGCCACACATGCCATGGGCCACACATGCCATGGGCCACACATGCCATGGGCCACACATGCCATGGGCCACACATGCCATGGGCCACACATGCCATGGGCCACACATGCCATGGGCCACACATGCCATGGGCCACACATGCCATGGGCCACACATGCCATGGGCCACACATGCCATGGGCCACACATGCCATGGGCCACACATGCCATGGGCCACACATGCCATGGGCCACACATGCCATGGGCCACACATGCCATGGGCCACACATGCCATGGGCCACACATGCCATGGGCCACACATGCCATGGGCCACACATGCCATGGGCCACACATGCCATGGGCCACACATGCCATGGGCCACACATGCCATGGGCCACACATGCCATGGGCCACACATGCCATGGGCCACACATGCCATGGGCCACACATGCCATGGGCCACACATGCCATGGGCCACACATGCCATGGGCCACACATGCCAGAAGGAAATGCATGCGATGAGCAACGATGGCATGAGCATTGCACGGCATGAGCAATACACAGCAATCCACATTGCTATGCGTGCCTTGGTGGTGCAAGTAGATAGCACAGATAAGCAGCAGGGGTGGGAGTGGTGGGAGCATACAGTGCTCCGAGAGATTGCAGCCTGCTGAAGGATGCTGGTATCGACCCGGACAGCTGATTCATCCCAAGGCCCCTGCACGCACACACCGGGGTTTCAGGAATAAGCAAGCATTGGCAGGCAAGGAATGGGTTGTGCCTTGGTGCAAGGGATGAGAGTTCAGAGGGAGATGTGTGCAGAATAGTGGCAGACAAGCGAAGGCAGGAGAGAGGAATGGAGTTTGCAGTGCGGGAGAAGGGAAGGCATGGTGGCATGCAACAGCGGAGGAGGTAGCAGGGCGCACAGCATGCGAAGGCTGGTGAGGTTGCCAAGCTCTGCAGGAATGGTGTCAGTGAGCTTGTTCTGTCCCAGTGCCCTGCCACACACAGTCAGTGATGCCACACAACAGGCCAGCATGGTGCTGATTAGATCGAGTTGTTAAAACACAGCCCAGCATGCGAGAAGCACAGATTGTGGCATGTGCAGTGCGCCTCACATGCACGCCCATCCCACAACACACAGCCCTTCATCATTTCAATCACCCAACTCCTCTGCTCCAGCTCAACTGTTCACTCGGCCTCCCGTTCAACACATCCCGCCCCATCACCCATCACCCATCACCCATCACGCGGCACTGTTACGTGAGATGCATGCAGGTGGCGTGCTCTCACAAGGAGACAAGGCCTTGAAGTTTTCCGAGGGATGATGGAATGGGTCCCATGATGCTGTTGTTCCTTAACAACCTGCCATGCGCACAGAGACAAAGAGGGAGAGAGGGAGAGCCGAGAGCAGAGGGCAGAGGGCAGAGGGCAGAGGGCAGAGGGCAGAGGGCAGAGGGCAGAGGGCAGAGGACAAAAGAATACTAAAACGATCTGGAATGGGGTGCTCTTGGGAATGCTCGGTATCAACAGCATAGAGAATCAGCTGCTTGCAACTTGCAAGGAAACGACAAAGGTAGGGCATACAATGTACGCAGCGCAACCATATCTCCGAGCGAGCCAGGGATGGTGCCTTCGAGTCTGTTGTCATTGAGTTCCCTGCATTGCATGCAGCAGCGGGGCAAGAGAATCGGGCAGATAATCCACACACACACACGCATACACACATAGTGAAGCGTTGAGGAAAGACAGGTGGCACAGGGGAGATGCGGCGGAGCGGGAATGATAGGGAGAACACAAAGAGTGATTGCGATTGGGAAGAAATCAGGAGTTTTAACCGAGAATGCCAGGATGAAGATACAGAGACTGTGCAATGCTGGAAGGCAGGATGGGGGAAGATACGTACAGTAATGTGAGCTGAGAGAGCAATCCAATGACTTGGGGAATATATCCCGTCAAGTTGCAGTCAAACAAACTCCTGCCCATGCATGCGCCATCACGCCAAAGGCACAGCAACACACGGCATCGAAAAATGATTGCGTGAGTGAGCATCACCCATCAGTGCTTGCAGCCATGCACAACAACGCACGGCATGCTGGAACAGGAGATGAACGAGCAGAACAACGTGGGATGATTGCAGGAGAGGGGAAGGGAAGATTGGTACTTGTGAGCTGGGAAAGTAGGGGTGAGAGGTAGAGCGGTGCGAGGTATTGTGTGTAGTGGTGGGAGCGATGCACTGACAGCTCCTGCAGATTAGTGAGGACTCGGATGCTCCTGGGGATGCTGCCACCTATGGGCGTTGATGAAAGACGCCTGCATGCATGGTGTGAGGCACAGGCGGAGACTTATGAGCATGGGAAAAGGTAGAGGAGGGGAGGAGGAGGAGGCGGGAGAGGGGGGAGGAGGCGGGAGAGGAGGCGGAGGAGGAGGAGGAGGAGGAGGAGGAGGAGGAGGAGGAGGAGGAGGAGGAGGAGGAGGAGGAGGAGGAGGAGGAGGAGGAGGAGGAGGAGGAGGAGGGAGGAGGAGGAGGAGGAGGAGGAGGAGGAGGAGGAGGAGGAGGAGGAGGAGGAGGAGGAGGAGGAGGAGGAGGAGGAGTGATAGCCTGAAGAAAAGAGAAAAGAGATGAGGGTGAACCAAGGAATGTGCAGCATGGGAAGCATGGTGCAAGATAGCAAAAGGAGTTGGGGAATGCGGAATGGAGCACGGACAGAACAGTCAAGGAGGAGAACTGTCCGATGAAGTCCGGAATGCCACCAGTGATGCCACTGAAGCTCAGGTCCCTGCACAGCGGCACAGTGACACAGCGGCACAGCGGCACAGGGGCACAGGGGCACAAGGGCACAGGGGCGTGTCAGCACATGCAGGGCAGAGCACACACATGAGCCAGGCAACTCACATCCGCATGCGGTGCTCTGGTGGGATGGGCTATGGTAGCAGCACACAGAACACACAACGAGAGAGCTACGAGGAACAGGGGCATCCTTGGCACATGAGACAGGGGAAGCGAGGGGCAGTGGTTGTGAGAGTGGCAGAGTGAGGGTGGGTGGGCGATGAGGAGAGGGCAAGAACGAGGAGTCAATATGCCAAGGGGCAAGAGAGGCAGCAACAGTGGCGAAGGCATAGCGGTAGGCAGAGGGGGCAACTTACAGGTACTCGAGAGAGGAGAGGGCGGAGTAGGAGTCGGGGATGATTCCTTTGATATTGTTTCCGGCCAGGTCACTGTGTGGCATGGGAGTGGTGGGTGGGGCATGCGAGCGTGACACACAGGACGAAGTGGGTGTGAGAGTGAGGAGGAAGGAGAGCATGCGATCACGCACAGTGGCTAGTTTTACTGAATCACAGGGATTGACGCTACACGGGAGCCAATTTGCAAGGAGTTGAAGAGGCGTGACAAACAGAAGCAAAGTAAATCAAGTGGGCAGAGCTGATGGAATGGGATGGGACAGGAGGAAGCAGCAGCAGCATGTGGTGGCAAGGCATGAGAGCAGCTCACAGCACACGGAGGTCAGGGAGAGCACTGAGCTCCGCAGGCAGGTTGCCCTGCAGCTTGTTGCCACCAAGGGCCCTGGCCGGTGCAGGGGAGAGGAGGCAACATGCTCAGGGAATGCAGAGACACGTGCGCTCCTGCTGAGTGTGTTCTGCTCAACGGGTGGTTGTGAGCGTGGGCCGGTAGCTCACAAAGCATGTGTCAATAGCATACACGAAGGAAATATGGATGCAGGAGGGGTGTGCAGTGTGGACGGAAGGAGAAAACTAGAGTGAGAAAGAGGGAGAGATTTACAGGACGTTGAGCAGACGCAGTTGCGCGAGGGAAGGGGGAACGAATCCGCCAATGTCATTGCTGCTGAGCCGACTGCGCACAGACAACAGGGAGAGCACGGACAGCACATGCAGGAGGGAGCGCACGGACAGCACATGCAGGAGGGAGCGCACGGACGAGGAATGCTGCTTTAACACTGCCGGACCACCACCGCAGGCACGGCATGGCCATACCTGGGCATGTCGACAGCATGGCATGGCATGATAGCACATGCATGCAAGCTCGAAGCAGCTAGTTTGTTGCGTTCAGAAAACATTCAAAGCACATGGGGGAAGAGACGAGTGCAAGACAAAAGGCGCGAAGGAAGAGAAGGCAGGCGATGGTGACGGGAGAGGTAGAGAAGAGGAGCGCACAGGGCGGCGAGACTGGTGAGCCCTGTGAAGGTGTCGGGTATGGTCCCGTTCAGCACACACAATGAGAGGTCCCTGGCAGGGCGGGTGAGAGGGGGAGATGCGCAGAGAGAGGGGAGAGGGGTGGTGGTGGTGGGACGAGGGATGGATGGTGCAGGGGGACAATGCAAGTGGGTGTGCGCTTGCGGATACAGATACAGGGCTGCAAATAGTAGAAATCTCCAGCACAGCATCTCCAGCAAGTCATGCGAGCAAACCAGTCCCATGATACGCACAGGTGGATGAGCTGTGCGAGCGACCCCAGCTGTGCTGGCACTTCCACGCGGAGAGGGTTGTAACTCATGTTGCTGCCGGTGCGCACAGCACGACACAGCGGGCAGGGGTTAGAGAGGCACATAGAGCAGGTGCACGTGAGGCCAGACGAGTGTTATGCGTGGTGTGGGGATAGTGGGAATGATGGGGCAGGAGGCAAGCAACACCAACAGATGTGACGTGTGCAGCATCGGCATCAGCATCAGCAACGGCAACAACATCAGCATCAGCATCAGCATCAGCAACAGCAACAGCATCAGCATCAGCATCAGCGCATCAGCGCATCAGCATCAGCATCAGCATAAGCATCAGCGCACTAGCATCAGTGCATCAGCATCAGCGCATCAGCATCAGCATCAGCATCAGCGCATCAGCATCAGCATCAGCAGCATCAGCATCAGTATCAGCATCAGCATCAGCATCAGCGCATCAGCATCAGCATCAGCATCAGCGCATCAGCATCAGCGCATCAGCATCAGCATCAGCATCAGCGCATCAGCATCAGCGCATCAGCATCAGCATCAGCATCAGCGCATCAGCATCAGCGCATCAGCATCAGCATCAGCATCAGCATCAGCATCAGCGTATCAGCATCAGCGCATCAGCATCAGCATCAGCATCAGCGCATCAGCATCAGCATCAGCATCAGCGCATCAGCATCAGCGCATCAGCATCAGCGCATCAGCATCAGCATCAGCATCAGCATCAGCATCAGCATCAGTATCAGCATCAGCATCAGCATCAGCGCATCAGCATCAGCATCAGCGCATCAGCATCAGCGCATCAGCATCAGCATCAGCATCAGCAACAGCATCAGCAACAGCATCAGCATCAGCATCAGCATCAGCATCAGCATCAGCAACAGCAACAGCATCAGCATCAGCATCAGCGCATCAGCGCATCAGCATCAGCATCAGCGCATCAGCGCACTAGCATCAGCGCATCAGCATCAGCGCATCAGCATCAGCATCAGCGCATCAGCATCAGCATCAGCATCAGTATCAGCATCAGCATCAGCATCAGCATCAGCGCATCAGCATCAGCATCAGCATCAGCGCATCAGCATCAGCGCATCAGCATCAGCATCAGCATCAGCGCATCAGCATCAGCGCATCAGCATCAGCATCAGCATCAGCATCAGCGTATCAGCATCAGCGCATCAGCATCAGCGCATCAGCATCAGCATCAGCATCAGCATCAGCATCAGCATCAGTATCAGCATCAGCATCAGCATCAGCGCATCAGCATCAGCATCAGCATCAGCGCATCAGCATCAGCGCATCAGCATCAGCATCAGCATCAGCGCATCAGCATCAGCGCATCAGCATCAGCATCAGCATCAGCGCATCAGCATCAGCGCATCAGCATCAGCATCAGCATCAGCATCAGCATCAGCGCATCAGCATCAGCGCATCAGCATCAGCATCAGCATCAGCAACAGCATCAGCAGCAGCAGCAGCATCAGCATCAGCATCAGCATCAGCATCAGCGCATCAGCATCAGCATCAGCGCATCAGCGCACTAGCATCAGCGCATCAGCATCAGCGCATCAGCATCAGCATCAGCATCAGCGCATCAGCATCAGCATCAGCATCAGTATCAGCATCAGCATCAGCATCAGCGCATCAGCATCAGCATCAGCGCATCAGCATCAGCGCATCAGCATCAGCATCAGTGCATCAGCATCAGCGCATCAGCATCAGCATCAGCGCATCAGCATCAGCGCATCAGCATCAGCATCAGCATCAGCAACAGCATCAGCATCAGCGCATCAGCATCAGCGCATCAGCATCAGCGCATCAGCATCAGCATCAGCATCAGCATCAGCATCAGCATCAGTATCAGCATCAGCATCAGCATCAGCGCATCAGCATCAGCATCAGCATCAGCGCATCAGCATCAGCGCATCAGCATCAGCATCAGCGCATCAGCATCAGCATCAGCATCAGCATCAGCATCAGCGCATCAGCATCAGCGCATCAGCATCAGCATCAGCATCAGCAACAGCATCAGCAGCAGCAGCAGCATCAGCATCAGCATCAGCATCAGCGCATCAGCATCAGCATCAGCGCATCAGCGCACTAGCATCAGCGCATCAGCATCAGCATCAGCATCAGCGCATCAGCATCAGCATCAGCATCAGTATCAGCATCAGCATCAGCATCAGCGCATCAGCATCAGCATCAGCGCATCAGCATCAGCGCATCAGCATCAGCATCAGCGCATCAGCATCAGCGCATCAGCATCAGCATCAGCGCATCAGCATCAGCGCATCAGCATCAGCATCAGCGCATCAGCATCAGCGCATCAGCATCAGCATCAGCAACAGCATCAGCATCAGCATCAGCATCAGCATCAGCGCATCAGCATCAGCATCAGCATCAGCATCAGCAACAGCATCAGCATCAGCATCAGCATCAGCATCAGCGCATCAGCATCAGCATCAGCATCAGCATCAGCAACAGCATCAGCATCAGCATCAGCATCAGCATCAGCATCAGCATCAGCGCATCAGCATCAGCATCAGCGCATCAGCATCAGCGCATCAGCATCAGCATCAGCATCAGCATCAGCGCATCAGCATCAGCGCATCAGCATCAGCATCAGCATCAGCAACAGCATCAGCATCAGCATCAGCATCAGCAACAGCAACAGCAACAGCAACAGCAACAGCAACAGCAACAGCATCAGCATCAGCGCATCAGCATCAGCGCATCAGCATCAGCATCAGTGCATCAGCATCAGCATCAGCGCATCAGCATCAGCGCATCAGCATCAGCGCATCAGCATCAGCGCATCAGCATCAGCATCAGCATCAGCGCATCAGCATCAGCATCAGCAACAGCAACAGCAACAGCAACAGCAACAGCAACAGCATCAGCATCAGCGCATCAGCATCAGCGCATCAGCATCAGCATCAGTGCATCAGCATCAGCATCAGCGCATCAGCATCAGCGCATCAGCATCAGCGCATCAGCATCAGCGCATCAGCATCAGCATCAGCATCAGCGCATCAGCATCAGCATCAGCGCATCAGTATCAGCATGCGAGGGAGGCAGAAGTGATGAGAGGATTGGGCAGTGTGTTGGTGTCATACAGGTGGTTCAAGGAGGCTGCGAGGCCACTAATGCTGGCAGGGATTGTCCCGTTGAGACGGTTGCGCTGCACACTCCTGCATGTGCACGCACCCACGCACAGACAGACACGCAGGCAGCATGAGAGGAGGCGAGCTGGAGGAAAGGTGGGAAGAGAGAAAGACACGAAGTTTGAAGGGTTGGTAGTGATGAGCAAGATGGGGAAGGGAAGAGTGTGTGGTGGTGGTGGTGCAGGGCATACAGGTGAGTGAGATTGGTGAGGGCGCCGATGCCTGATGGCAGGGAGCCCGAGAAGTAGTTGTAACTCAGCGACCTGAGGACAGGACACCCGCATGGCATGGCACGTGGAGCAAGAGGAATACGAGGTGGTTATTCGAAATAGAAGAGAGGGGGATAGGAATGGAGGCGAGAACCGACAGGAAGGAGGGAGGAGCATGCAAGGGTGCTGATGTGTAGAATGGGGATGGGGAGCAGGCAGGTTAGATGGTGGGTCGAGGAAAAACATACAGGTGAATCAAGTTGGTAAGGCTACCAATGCCATCGGAAATATTGCCAGAAAGCTGGTTGCCATGCAGCCACCTGGTAGTTGAAACACGGGCAGAAGAGAGGCAACGTTGCGTAGTGAAAGGAAGGCAAGCTTGGGACGCGTGTATGAGAGCAAAGCACCACCAAGGGCGAGTGAACATGGACTGTGAAGGCAAGGCACACAAGCGGCGTTGAGGTGAGGCACACAAGGGGTGGGCCGTGCTGTGCTGAAAGTTCAGCATGCTGACATACAGTGCCTCAAGACTGGTGAGAGCAGAGATGGTGTCTGGGATGGATCCACTGAGGGCGTTGTTGCTCAAGTTGCTGCAGTGGTGGGGGCGAATAGCAGGGAGCATGGCAGCAGAAGAGCCCCATGACGGCAATAGCAGATGGGTGGTGGCGAGTGGATGGCAGGTGGTGGTGAGGAACAGGTTGCTGGAGCACGAGAAAGTGCAGTGATTGATGGGGGATAACGGCCGCACGGAGGTGAGGCGGAGCGACGGGACAGCAGGACGTGGTGTGAGCTGATACCACTGGTAGGCTGTCGCGCAGCAGAAGCAGCAACGTGCATGGGTGCAGCTACAGCTACAGCTACAGCTACAGCTAAAGCTAAAGCTACAGCTACAGCTACAGCTACAGCTACAGCTACAGCTACAGCTACAGCTACAGCTACAGCAGTAATGACGACTCACAGGGACTTGAGCTGCTGCAGTCCCGAGATTGTTGTGGGGATGGGCCCAATCAAGCGATTGTTGTCTAGCGCCCTGATACGTGCCCATGATAGTGCAGGAGAAGTGGGGGTGGAGGCGTTCCGGGTGTATTGTCACATTAGGAAGCAGCCAAAGGAGGGGAGGGAAAACGGGAGAAGGGTGGCAAGGCAAGGACGCGGGGGGAGCGGCGCAGGGAAGGTGGAGAGCGCGGGCGCGCGTACAGGCTGGTGAGGTTGGAGAGGGTGCCGATGCTTGGTGGAATGGAGCTGTTGAATTTGTTGTTATTCAACGAGCTGCGGGGGTAGGGGCAGAGTGCACCACACACACACACACCTGCAATGAATCAGGCTGTACAGTCAGAGGGGCGATCACTGGATGCGTGGAAGGAGAAGGTACAGGAAGTATATGGGGAGGCGGCAGGGCAGGCAGCAGGAAGGCAGCAGGACAGGCAGCAGGACAGGCAGCAGCGTAGGCGGGGAGAGTTGGGGCACGGAGGGTGGCATGGGCGAGTGCAACTGACAGCCATGTGAGGCTGGGAAGCGTTGGCACGTCGAGGGGGATGGGACCCGAGAGATTGTTGTGTGCGAGGCTCCTGCAGAGGGCAGTTGGACGGAGGGAAAGCACGAGCGCACGAATTGAGGCATTATTAAGATGGTGAGGGACAGGGGCACCAGAATCGCCGTCACCTAAGGACAGAGAGCGATAAGATGAGCGTGTTGCGCCATAACCTTTGCATGACACAGAAATAGCAAGGAGAGGTCCCTGCCCAGCTGCAAGGTGGCGATGACTCTCCTCTCCTGTGGTGCTTTATGCGGAGTACGAGCACAGTTGGCTTGATGAACGGGGCACGGTGTGTGCAGCGCACAGGTACAGTGCACACGGGAAAGCGAGTTGGGTGCAGCCAGAAATGAGAGTGTGAGGTGTGCAGGGAGCGATGGCATGGGCATGAGAGAGGCGCACAGATAGCCAAGATTGGACAGCTTGCCAATGCCCGGCGGAACAGTGCCTGAGAGCTTGTTGTATTCCAGGTTTCTGGCGTGGGAGAGGCACACATAGCACATGCATAGCATGGGCGGATTAGTGGGAGCAGTGCACACAAAGTGCATGTGCTGTGCATTTGCATGGAATGGGACTGAACGCATGGCCATGTGTTCCCATCCCAAGTACAAGTCAGCGTTGAGAAGGAGAGGTGGTGAGATACGTACAATGATTGGAGCAGCACGAGATCTCCCAGGGAGCGTGGGATCTCGCCTGTCAGCTTGTTGTTGGTGAAGTCACTGTGATGTGATGTGATGCGATGCGATGCGATGCGATGCGATGTGATGCGTAGTGCACGGAGAGACAGCAGCACGAGGTAAGCACACACACAGCACGGCAATACATTACAGAGTTACGGCCGGACTAAACTAGGGACGAGCAATCAAGCACAGGAGGAAGTAAATGACGGGCACAACAAGGGCGCGGGGCAGGGCAGGGCAGGGCAGGAGAGGGCTCACAGCGCAGAGAGAGTGGAGATGGTGCCGATGTTACTCGGTATGGATCCCTCCAGCCTGTTGGCACTCAGCTGCCTGTTGGGGGCCGCACACATACACACGCACGCTTACCACTCTGTCACCAAGCCACGCTCACCCCCCGCCCCCTATCTAATCCTTAGCTCCCAACCCAATCCCCTAACAACCAAACGACTGTCGCACCGCCACATGCACCTCCCTCCATCCACTTGCACCCCTCACCACCAAGATGCCTTTCCGTCAGAGCCCTTCTGTGAAGTGGAGCATGGGGCTGGAATCGTTTGTGCTGCCAATGCACGCCCCGCATGAAGCCACGTGGAGCATGGCCGGTAAAGCAGGGCCATGTGGGTAGTGCATGGTGCGTGCAAGGGCGGTAGATCAAGTGCAAGGGCAAACGGGACACTCACAGCGCGCCAAGCAGGGTGAGATTGCTGAGGGCGTCGGGAATAGAGCCTGTCAGATTCTGATTGTCCAGCACCCTGAAAGAAGAAGGGAAGTTAATGAGGAGTGCCATGGCGCATTGTGACAGGCATAAGGAAAGCCGACACAGCAACAAGGTGCCAGCATGAAGAGTGAGAGGCATGAATTGCGCAACCTAGACCCTCCCCTCTGCAATCTTCACACATTCATCTTGCCTTCATACCACATCTCACGACGAGATAGCATGCGCACATTCCTTGAACGAAGCACACGTTTCACCTAATCAACAAGACTCTCCCTCCTTTCATCCGTGACACGCCAAACTCACAGCTTTAAGACATTCCCGCTGTTATCGCAGAAAAGGCCCGTGATGTTACAGCTGCTGAAGTCCGTCCAGCCAGTGAAGTTCCAAGTCTGCTGACACACCTTGAGCACTTCCACTGGAAGAGACGAGAGAGCAACAATGCCACGCACAAGATGATCAGGAATGGAACCAGCAGCAGCAGCAGCAGCAGGAGGAGCAGCAGTCGTTCATGCAAGAAAAAAATGCGACGCGGAATGCAATGTGTCTCTCGTAGCTGACGACGGCTGATCATATCCTTGACGGAAACGAAACCGTAAAGGAGGCTGGCGCGGAGAGCCACAGCAACGTAGCTCAACGCGCCGCCGCAACGAGCGCGTCGAATGGCTGGCGACGGGATGCACGCGCAATGGCGGCTCGGCTCTAACGTCATCGCGGCACTCCTAGCTTCCTTCACCGTGTGTCACGTCAAAGACTCTTCTCAGCACCAGATCTCATCGGCCCAAGCCGCGGGGAGGGAATGCGGGTGGCATCGCACTGTCGCCACCAGCTTCGCGCGGCCGTGCAGCGGCTCGCAGCAGGTAATCGAGACGCACATCGCGCTAATGCATCCAGGCGTGACTTACCCTGTGCCGGCGCAATAGGCTGCGCGTATCCGGATCTTGCGAGGCTAGTCGCGACGATCACAAGCAGCAATGCGGCCGGCAACTGCATTCTAGACGAAACCGAAAGGTCAAAAGGGCGCGCCATCTTGTTCGAGAAACGATGGTAAATCGGGATCCTTTAGCAATGACGTTCAAGAAACTTAGAACGAAGCCAAGATGGCTTCTCTGAAGATAAGGTGCAGCAGCACCAATAATTGCAGGGAATCCAGTGCGCTGCTGCTCAAATTCGTACGGCTGTATTGAAACACTAGACTCCAGCCCAGGGTACCTCTGGCACCGACTTTTGTTCCAACTTCAAAGCAGGCAGCAGAGCGCCAAGGCGGTGGCGGTTCGGTCTCGAGGTGTGTGGTGTGGTGGTGATGAGAATCCGAGGTGTGTGAGCGCGAGGTGCCTGGTGGCGGAAGCGCAGGACTCATGCGGCTCAACAGTGTTGATGGGTGAGACCCACAGGCCCCCACCCAGATTTCCGTGCTTTGCACGCTAGATTCCCCGGCAGGGGAGAGGTTTGACTTGGCTGTGCCTTGAAATTTGTAGATTTCGAACTATTATTTTAGTAAATTGGAGAACACTAACTAGATGATAGACCAAATGCTTTCAAATACCATGCCAACACCCATGACATGACATTATAAATAAGCTGGAAGAGGTGATAACTAATCTTGAATCGGGCGATCTGCAAGACAATGCTCCAAGAGCAACATTAGATGTTGCTCTTTGTCCACAAGAAAGAAGGAAAAACTTGAAGAAGCCCAACTTACCTATGTCAAAGTATGCTTGACGATTGGAACCCACTGGGCCAGTCCCAAGGGCGTCATTACTTAAAAGATCTGCCATGTTTGGAGGAAGGGGAGACAATAATCAAGGTAGTTAGACCACGATACATACCAAACCCATGAGGCATTATCATATGTATGGTGATACTCCAAAGACCACTAGAGGTGGCTGGTTTTCAAGTGAGCTTGTACAGCAGCATCAAAAGGATTAGTGGGATACGAAAATTTGCAGGTTGAGGGGCGGCAACTACCTTGCTGGTCGTGTGAGTCGGGCTTGTGGGTGATGACAATGTATGCGAGGCCAGCAGCAGTGATGAGCACAATGAGCAGCCCAATCACAATGGCAGCTATGGCGCCCCCTGACAGGCCCTTGCTGCTGGTGCTGACTGCGGTGGTGGTTTCCAGTTGAGGCCGGTTAATGGGGCGGCCCACAGGTGGAAGAGGCGGTGCGGCAGGTGAAGCGGGTGGTGATGGTTTGTCTGGGAAGTCAGGAGGCTGAGAGCCTGGTGGAGCTGGGGGCGGCGGCGAGGCACCTGATTTGACAAGCGACGTGGGGAACATACACGAGCATAATGCGCGTAGACAAGGGGATGGGGAAGAATAAGAGTGTACTCATGCAAACGCCAAGGTGTGCAGATATTTCAAGAAATAAAAGGAAGGAGTGATGTGAAATGATTGCAGAACAGACCGGATTGGATGCATTGGCGGCAGTAGTTGGGGCACTGGACGCAGAAGGCTGAGAGCAGCGTCTGAGGCACGTCACAGGCGGCGTCAGTGGAGGGGCAGATGAGCGAGGTGTTGGTCACATCACTGCCGTGGCGGGGAAGAGAGCGCGAGAGAGAGGTTGTGATTAGCTTAGTTGCACCTGCGTGTGAACCGCACACACATGTTGATGGAACAGTCAAAGGCAGCGAGCAGACGGGATTGACTGAAGCTGGTTAATGGGGGCAGGTTGGTGGGCGGCTGCGGTGACTGACAGCAAGGTGAGGGCGGTGAGGGCACCCAGGCCTGGAGGCAGTACACCAGTGAGGTCCCGGTTGTCAACGAGGTTGCTGCCAGGGACACACATGCACACACACGCACGCGCACACGAAAGAGATGACCCGGAAAGCGGGCAATTGGACAAGAAGGAGAAACATATGAGAAGTAGGATTGTGGAGGTGTGGTGTGGTTTAGTGCGCAGCATGCGATGGAATGGAAGGGCAGCATACATGTGCTGAAGGGCGGTCAGTGCCGTGATTGCCTCTGGCAGCACGCCGCTGAAGCTGTTGGCGCTCAGATCACTGGGGAGACAGGGAGAGAGAGGGACTGGGGGTTAAGGAGAGAGACGCAGAGAGCATGCAGCAAGGGGTGACGGACAAACGCGGTAGAGCGAAGATGGGATGGCACCAGGTAGTGCCGTATGAGCGAGGGTCAGGTGACTGCAGTGCAGTTGTGAGCACAGGTGCGGGCAGGCAAGGTAAGGGAGCTTCATTCATGGTACATGTGGTGGCTGGCATGGGAGAGAGCTGACATGGAAGAGAGCTTGCGCAATTGAGTAATGGAGCGAGGCAGAGTGCCGTTGAGATGGTTGAAGCTGAGATCACTGTGGGGATGGGTGGTGTGCAGCGGTGCAGGGATGAGGACAAATAGTTGCGTCACTGCATGCGCACCACCACCACAAAACATGTGCCTGGTGCTCCCATGTGGTACAGAAGATGAAGGAAAGGAGCCTTAAGCATGTAGAGAAACGTATGGTGGCCAGAAAATTGCTAGAGAGAGTGGAATCTGATGGTGCGCAAGGCTCACAGGAGCTGAAGGCTGGTCAAGTTGCCTATGCTTTCTGGCAAGGGTCCCGTCAGCAGATTGGATCCCGTGTTGCTGACGTGGCAGCATGCCATGCATTGGATACGGACGGGGAGAGGAACGTGGGAGAGCGGGTAGAGGGAGAGGGGGAGAAACATTTGAGAGGGCGACGAAGGTGCAAAAGGAATGGCATTGGGGGAAGAAAACAATGTTGACTCCTCTGCATGTGTGCTACATACAGCCTACAGGCATGAGGTGCCGTGGTGCAGTGCACAAAGAGCATATGGTGTGTGTGGTGGGTGGTGCATACAGGAGAGTGAGCAGCGAGAGATCCCCAATGGCTGCAGGAATGGAGCCGTTGAGGTTGTTGTACTCTAGAGACCTGTCATGAGAAATGGATGAGGGGACCAGGGCTTCAAGCAGTGGTGGGTGGGTGGCAGCGAGTCGAGGGGGTAAATGATGTGTGCATAGGATGTATCTGTTCACTGGGGTGACTGGCGGGCGCGAGTGTTGCAAAGATGACCCACACACACACGCGCTGTCAACCTCCTGGCCTGGCGGTTGTTGCTCCTACTGTGCATAGAGCACTTTCTGTACGTTCCTGCCACCAACGTGCATGTGTGAGTGCACAGCACATGGCAAGAAAGAAACAGCGAGTCTTTCGTGACCCGAGCCAGACATGCGTGCAGACGGAGAGCAGCAACGAGTGCGAGCAGCAGGGAGTGGCGTACAGGTGGGAGAGCATGTGGAGTGCGGTGATGGAGCTAGGGATGGCGCCCTGCAGCTTGTTGTTGCCCACAGCGCTGCATGCATGCACGCCAGGGGGACAGACGGAATGGGAGTTGTTGAAGGGGGATGTTAAAAGGTCGTGTGATCAACAGAAAGCGAAATAGTGCTGGCTCACAGTGTTGCGAGAGAGGTCATGTTGGCCAGGTCGAAGAAGGTCCCTGTTATCTCGTTGATTGATAAGTCCCTGTGAATGAGAGGACGACAGAAGGGGGGATGTGGTACAGGTGTGAGTGGGTGGCAGGTAGGAGAGGTGAGGGAGTGAGAAGCAGGGGACAGGAAGGAGACAAGGAAGGAGATTAACAAAGCACAAGAGAGCACAAGGAAGCGGCAAGTGCGTGCAGAACTGACAGGTTGACAAGGTTGGAGAGGGATGCGAGGGTGGAAGGCAGAGACCCCGTGAGCTTGTTCTGGCTTATGTTTCTGCACGCACACACATACATGCACACACGCACTCGCCCTCCGAGTAATAGGATGAGAGAGCAGGACCTTCAGCGAACATGCAGAATGGACGCATGATCTGAAGGAAGGGCGCATGATGTGGAGGTTGGCAGGAGTAAATGGTGGTACGGAGGATGTGGGTGCGTGCTGGCAGTTCATGCATGTGCCTGCCGCTGGTTTATATTCAGCAACACAGGAACACGACGAAATAAGGAGGAGGAAGCATGAAGAGACAGAGGTTGAGTCGGCGTGGGCACGAACAGGTAGGTGAGAGAGGAGGCGACGGCAGCGAGGGACGCAGGGATGGAGCCATTGATTCCGTTCCACGCCAGGTCCCTGCGGAAAGGGGAAGGCAGGCGGGTGGCATGGCGAGAGAACGGAGGGGAAGTGGAGAGAGGGTGATTGGCAGCAAAAGAAGCAGGGGGTTTGCAGGGTGCACGTGGAGGAGACAGGGGGAGGTCACATGTAAGGATGGTGTGAGGTGCAGGAGGCAAGAGGGAGTGGGGTGTGAGGGCACTGACAGCTGCTCGAGATTGGTGAGTTGACTGAATGTGCTGGGGATGGTGCCTTGCAGTGAGTTCCCGCTCAGTACACTGGCAGGGAGGAGGAGGGGGATGGGGTGGGTAGAAAAGCGGAAGGTGGACGGCATGGCATGAGCACGGTTGGGGTGAGGGAGCGCTACAATGCAAGCGTGGATGTGGTGGGCATGGCGATGGATTTAAGACCGCACACACTGCACCAGGCCAAGGGGTGTGTGTGTGCGAGCAGCGGCAAGGTGTGTGTGCGAGCAACAGGAGGTGCGTACAGTCGTTCAAGGGTGCTGATGCTGCCCAGGGAGTCAGGAATGCTGCCATTCAGCTGCCTGTTGTTGCCAACCGCTCTGCACCTCACCACACCACACAGCACACAGAATGCATCACAGAACTCTGTTTTAACCGTATCATCCATCACAGGGTGCACACGAGAGTTGAAATGAGTTTTAGAAGCAGTGTACAGTGCACACGATTCTAAGCGTGCTGTGCAGCATGTGTGGCGACAGATGCAGAGGTGCAGTGAGGTGAGCACTCACAGGTCGACCAGGGCGGAGAGCCCTCCGAGAGTGGAGGGCAGGGAGGACGACAGTGAGTTGCTCTCCAGGTAGCTGTGGGGCAGGGGGGCACAAGAGGTTGAGGTGCCGCTGAATGCAGCGGTGGATGAGCGAGCGGTTGTGTGGAGTGGTGCTGGGAGGATGCGGAGAGGTGGGTGGGGAGTGGGTGGGTGGTTGCCTCACAGGTGCTTGAGAGACGCCATTGAACCGATGGCAGCTGGTATGGTCCCGTTCAGCTTGTTGCTCGATAGATTGCTGCGGAAAGAGGCAAGAGAGGATGGGAAATGAGAGGGGTGGAGAAGGGGAGGTGCGAAGGAGACGGCGGCCCGCATGAATCAAGGCATGCACGCAGCATGTCGCAGGCACATGGCTGATGCAGTGATGCCCCTCCCTGTTTGTCCAGTGTGACTGACTCACAGGACAGTGAGGTTAGCCATGCGTCCCATGGAGTCGGGTATGGGTCCTTCCAGATCGTTGCTGCTCAGGTCCCTGCTACAGCATAGCAGTAGCCGTAGCGGCCATGCGACAGGGGAGGAGGTGCGAGGAGTGAATTGCGAGGCCTGACTGATGGCCGCAGAGGCGAGACAGAAAGAGAGAGAAGGTAGCATGGAAAAGAACGGAGGAGCCTTCAGTTGGCAGCAAGGGATGAGAGGAGCAGAGAGGGGGAGGGTGGGCGCACAGCTCTTGCAGGTTAGAGAGGAATGAGATGGACGCCGGGATGCTGCCAGTGATGTTGTTGCTGCTCAGGTCGCTGGTGCAGCAGGTGGAGGCACACACGGGAACATGGGCATGCCCGTGAGCATGCATGAGAAACTGGAAACGGACAGACGGTGGACATGATGCAAAGTATGTGGAGCGTTAAAAGCGGGCGAGAACGTCGAGGGAAGTGGCCTCGGCAAGATAAAGAGGGCTATGGAGTCAAAGGAAGAGGAGAGATGGACGTGGTTGGAAGGAGGTGGGATTGATTGGGTTACATGGTAAGGGCTGCGAGTGCGGTGATGGTAGTGGGAATGGGCCCAGACAGCTCGTTACTGCCCAGCACCCTGCACACAGCAGAGAGGTAAGGGGGTGAGGGGTGTGGGTGTGAAGGGGAGGGGCTTGTTGGCACAATGGGAGAGGTGCACACGGACACAAGGGGCGCTGCATGTTGCAGGTAGAGTATGAAGGCAGCACACTGGGCACAATACTGCTGGGAGCATTCCATAGGCGCGACTAGCTAAGCACGATTCTCATTTCTTCCTGCGGCTCGGATGCCAGCGCATGCACGAGTACATGCATGCGTGTGTGTGTGCGGTGGCACAGGCACTCACAGGCTGGTGAGCACTGCGAGTTTGCCCAGCTGTGGCGGCACAGGGCCGGAGAGATTGTTGCTGTACAGGTTGCTGCCAGTGGGGACAGCAGGTTGTGGGCATGGATGGAACAAGCAAATAGGGTGGGATTACGAGGGGGAAGAAGAGGAAGAGCAGGAGACGAGTGGGTGGGTGCGGTGCATGCATACATATCCCTCCTGTATCAGGTAAGGCAGATGATGATGACATGACACTGCCTCAACTTCGTGAGCGAGCGGCATGGATAAGGCTCGTATGAACAGACATGTATGGAGCGCACTCACAGGTCCATGAGCAACGGCAACATACTGAGCTGCCACGGAATGGCGCCAGACAGGCTGTTGTCGCCCAGGGACCTGAATCCCAGTCACGCAGAGGAGGGCGTGGACGGTGAGGAAGAGAATGGGGAGGTCAGAGGAAAGGAGCCGAGCAGAGAAGGTGGTTAGAGGGGATGGTGTGTGAGGTGGAAGGTGCTGATCTATGAGGAAAGGAGGAGGTCTTGGGAGTGACAACAACCAGGGGTTGTTTCATATGGTGCACGGCATGATGCGAGTAAGCAGGACGAATGAGTTGCGAGCGGCAAGTTGGGTTGGAATGCGAGGGGCGTTACAGTTTGGTGAGCGCGGTGAGGGTTGTTATGTCGGGAGGAATGGGGCCCGTGAGGTTGCTCATGCTCAGATCGCTGACACACAGCACAGGGGATAGAGGGAAGAGACAGTGCGAGAGGAGAGGGGGGCGGGGGAGACAGGTGAGTGGTTTCGCAGCTCACGTCACGTCCCGTCACGCACAGCACCGCCACTGCCATTCCAGCAGTGCATTCCCTGCCTTGGTTAACATTCCTGTGCAAGCCATCTCAGCAGCGCCATGGTGTGGTGCCGCTGCCTGTCTGCTGCCCCTTTGCGCCCCTCGCTGCCTGCTCCCTCGCTCTCTTTATTACCCGCGCTCCGTCTCTTTCCCTCCCAATGCCTCTAACCCCACATTGCTCCCGTATTCATCGCTCGTACGCCCCTTTCTCTCCAACTCCCGCCCTCCCCCCCCCCGTCCCTCCCCCCCCGATGCCTGGGACCGTGCGCACATGGCGGAGATCATGCCGTTCGGGTCGCACGTCAGCCCTTGCGCCATGGTGCAGTCAGCGCCCGCCCGCCAACCCCGCAGCCTCGTCCCCCACGCCTCTTCGCACGCCTGTAGGGCGGGTGCTGCACGTAAGGGAAGCGGGGGGGGAAAGGGAACGCATGCGCAACGGAGACCCGCGGAGGGAGGGGAGAAGAGATGCAGGTTGAGCGGGTGAGGGAACCAGACGAGGCAGCGCACACGATTATGTGGAGGAAGCAGCTGACAGTGAGAGAAGGGCGGAGCATGAAGAGATGCAGGTACCGGGAAAATAATGTTGCTGGGAACGAGGTAGGGAGTCGTACAATGTGAGCGCATTTTCATGAACGGAAAGCGATGAGGGCCCGCGCAGGGCGTGAGGACTTGCGGACCGTGTCAGGGTACGAGTCGAGGGCATGAGACAAATCGGTGTTTCACTGCATTGCATTGGCTGAATCTCCTCTTAATGCGAGGCGCATGCCTACCCTGTGAGGCGGCTATCGGTTGTCGCGCGCTGGCGACGTCGATGCGAATCAATGAGAGGAGCAGCGCGAATGCGAACGGTAGAGAGCGAAGAGAGACCGCATTGTGCGGTACGATGCGCGACATTTCCGTAAGGACAGGCACGAGCAGCGCGACGCACGCGAGGTTATCTGGAGGGCGCGAGAAGCTAGTTCAGGGAGCAGCAGATGCGCATTCCCTGCTCACCGACATGCCTGTGAGTGGAGTGGTGGAGGTTTCCAGGCATATGTTGGATTGGTTTGTGTGGTGGTCTTGATTGCTTGGCAGGCATCAACACCAACAGCAACACGGCATTCATGCCGAAGTCGGCTCGCTCTCCTCCAGTTTTCGATAAGTCCAACATTGTAACCTCAGCTTTCGCAAATCTCAACAGCTTGTGCAGACTTCGCACGCGTTCGCTCGTAACCCATATTCGCGGGTCATCGCGAACGGGTATCGTGCTGATGGGCACTGCTCAAACCCACCTACATGTGGGGCTCTCTAGGGCATGCCGCATATCCTCCGTCAAGGTCATACCTCAGTGTCACTCACTGTCCTGTCATGCAACCAAGCCGCTCAGCCTGTGTGGTCCCGCATTCAGCTCCTTGATTCAAGGCCGCCCTCTCAGGCACGGAGGGACCACCGAGGTTTCGCCGTGTTTCCAAACCTCCGCTGACCCTTAATCTCGTCGCGTCGCTGCATGCGATTTTGTCCACAAATTCCTTTGCGAATCTTTGCTTCCCTGCGACGTCGTGTCACTCGAAGCAGATGGGCTCGGCGGCTTTCCATGCGGCGACCATGGATGGTTGCGAACGTCGGTAGGCAGCTTCGGGCGTAGCCATGGCAACATGGCTTCCCGAACCAACACCAAACCAAGATCCACTTTTCCTCGAGACTTCACCGCAAGCACGCCCCTCTTCCCACTACACCACCACCACAGCGTCTGCATTCCAGGCGCGCTCGAATTCGCACGAGGAGTCGCAGTCTCAGTCGCGAGAACAGTTCTATCGCCATTCGAACCAGCCGCGCGGTCGCCCGACTTCCCGTCCTCGATCCCGGTCGCGGTCCAAGTCAGGCCGCAAGGGCGGCAGCTCCACCAGCACCAGCGCCAGCGCCGCTCCTAGCAGCAGCGCCGTTTCTTCCGGTCCCGCTGCAGCGTCGGACTTGCGCGATCTCGGGAACGCAGGCGGTGCGGCTGACAGGGAGCGAGACGCGGGCGACGGCGGTGGAGGCGGAGAGTTAACGAGAGGAAGAAGCGGCGCGAGTGAAGCACTTGCGCGAAGAGGCGGAGGGCTGGTAGGGGGAGAGGGGCGAGAGCGCGCGGCGGGGAGAGAAGCAGGTGGAGGGCAGGGTAGCGGGAGCCGCGGGAGTTACAGGGTCGAGCCGGTGCGCGATTACGAGGCGGACTGCGAGGTGGTGGTGGAGTGGCGGCGGGGCGAGCGGTGCCGGGAGAGCGTGGCTGTTGGAGTGGGCAGCATGCGCAAGCAGGCAGCGGGGGCGGGTGACGTGGCGCAGCACGGTGCAGGAGGGGTGAGGCGATCGTCGGATGGAGCCATGGCGGATCTTGAAAGCAGATCGCCCATTCGGACACAGAGACTCAAGGAGGTGCGAGCACTGCCGTTGCTGGTGATTGTGAACCAAGGGTTTGGGGTTGGCTTTTTGCGAATCAGTATGCGTGGCTGATTGTGTGTGAATCGTTGGATATGACTCCCAGTGGTGTTTTCAGAGCGTAAATTTTCATGTATTGTATACTAGCCCATGGTGCATGCACGTGCGTGTCTGTGTGCCGTGGTAAATTGCAGACGATGAGTGACGCAACGCATCAAGCCAAGCCTCGCTCTGGATCGGCATCCGGGCCACTGCCAGCACATAAGGGGGGGATCACCAGGTGAGCCCCGTGCTGCTCTATCCACGAGCTTACGCTCTGCTGTCCACCTTATGCATCGTTGCCTAACTGTCATGTCACTGTGTAACCGGGAGCTGAGGCACTGTGTGTGGTGTGTTTGTGCGTGTCGTGGATGTGTGCAGGGGGCGGTTTCAAGTGATAGAGGGCGACCAGTCGGACAGCGAGTCCGATATGTCGCCATGGCCTTCCGCCACCACGCCATCAGGCAAGGCGGAAACTCCCCAGGGCACGCCAACAGCAGCGGCAGCAGGATCCTCAGGTCCCTTGCTTGGCCCATCGCCCTTCACTGCTGCTGCAGCAACAGCCGCTTCTGCCGCGCACGCAGCAGCGGCAGCCGCGGCGGCGGCGGGTGCAGGTGGTTCAGGGGGAGGGCCAGCAGCAGCAGGGAAGGGGGTCACGCCATCAGCGGTGCGGCGCATATCCACAGCAGGCAGCGCGTCTTCCTCCTCCAGCCCCTACTACTCGCCCGCCTCGCGCTCCCCCACCGCCCCCCCCAACCCCGCCCCTGCTGACCTACGCCACGGCCCGCTACCTGGCTTTGCAGGCCCCCTGCGCTTTGAGGGTGGCAGTGGCGGGGGGAGTTGGCGGGGCACCGGGGGCAGCAGCGGCAGTGCGAGCGGTGTGGATGCAGGGCAGAGGAGCACGGGCAGCGGGGGCAGTGGGTTTGATGGTGGGCAGCAGCGCACTGGCAGCAGTGAGAGCCTGTGCAAGGAGGTGATGAAACCAGGCAGCAGCGGCGGTGCGCCGGGGAGAGGGGTGGGAGGAGGGGCGTGGGAGAGGGGTTCAGGTGCAGAGGCGGGTGACGGAGGTTATTCGGGTGAGGGGTATGCGAGGGGAGAGCAGGAGAGGGGGGTGGAGGAGTGGGCAGGCAAGGAGGGTGTTAGACAGGACGGGTGGGCGGGTGCAAGGGATGTGAGGGATGGGAGTGGCAGGGATGGGGCAGCAGGCAGGGAGGGAGCGGGCCGGGCCAAGGCGCGCAGTGAGCCACTGGTTGGGGAGAAGGCAGCTGCTGCTGCTGGCGTGGGAGGGGCCAGGAGGAGTGCACATGTGGATATGATGGACAGGTGCGTGCAGCGTGTGATTATGGTGCTCTTAATCACCTCACCTCACACTCCATGTGCTGGGCTTGCTCTCGGACGTGTGTGGCACAGCAGCACATGCTCCTTTTCCTTTGCCTGCACGCCTCTGAGTGGTGTTGTTGTGCGTTGGTGCATGCGTGCATGTGTGGCGTGTGTGGTGTGAGCAGGAGCCAGCGTGAGGAAGGGCCAGCAGCAGCAGCTGGCAGTGGGAGCGTGCGCAGCAAGGCACCAGGGTCCATGGTCTCTCGCTCCGCTCCCCTCCCCCACCCTCAAGCACCTGTTGCTGGTGCTGCTGCTGCCTCCAGTGGTACTCCAAAGCGAGGTCTGTGGCTGGCATTGGGGCAGCCATGCCATATTGTCCAAGCTGCACATGATTCCCACTGCAAACCCCAGCTGCTCTGCTCTGCTCCGTTTCTCAGCGTGCAAACTGAATTATATCGTTCTCTTTCTTTCCTCATCCAGGTCAGCACCTTGAAACCCCACTGCCTACCGCATGTACTGCCCTTGCCACCGCCACCTGCCTGGCTGCGCCCTGCACCTGACTGACTTGTCTGCCTTGCTTGCGCCCACCGCCTGTCCCCCCTGCCACCCTCCGCTGCCGTGTGTGTGCAGGGGCTGTTCCCACGGGCGACGGACAGGACAGGTGGAAAGAGAAGCCTCTGCGTGAAGAGAGAGGGCGCGAGGAAAGAGGGCGTGAGGAGAGGGGCCGGGAGGAGAGGAACCTGGCTGATAGAGAGGCGGATGGCAGGAGGGCTGGTGGGGTGGAGAAGGACAGGAAGAGCGGGGGCAGGGAGAGGGAGGCGAGGAAGAGTGATGACAAGACAAAGGAGAGGACGGGTGAGGAGCGAAGTGAGCAGGGGCGCGGGGGACAAGAGGGCAGACGGAAGGAGGAAAGTGTTGGGAAGGAGAGTGCACGGGCAGGGAGGAGCCGCGAGGAGAGGGGGCGGGAGGGGGAGAAAGGGGTGGAGAAGGGAAGAGAGGAGGAGAAGGGCAGGCAGGAGAGGGAGCGCGGGCAGGCGCATGGGCGGGGCGTGGGGCGAGTGGGCGTGCAGCGCAGGGGACGATTCTCCGTCACCACTGATGATGTGGACGCCCAGGTGAACCCCCATGAGCCCATGGGTCAACGTCCCGCCCTGTGCTGCACTTCCATGCACTCCTTTGTACTTCTGTGTCCCCGTTGCCCTGCTCACCTGCCCGTGCCACCATTCACCTTCTCTGTTAATGCAAAGACTAACGTTGCTTCCACGTCTTGATGTATGCACCCTTCCACCCTGCTCTCTTTCTAAAGGACGGAGCACCGCCCACGGTCATGTGTACATCCAGCATGCACCGTCCTCACCCTCAGGTACCCTCCTGCACCTCACCACCTCTTCCGCACCCACCCTTTCGGTTTCCAACACAACGAGTTTCCTTCTGCACTCTGTGGTGCAGGGGTTTCTTACACTTCCCGGCAACTGCTATTTATGTCTGCCAGCATCTCGGTCTCCTCACGCCCGTCCTTCCCTACCTCTCCCCGTGCCGTGTCTCCCCCAGGCGGCGCGTCTGCTTCCCCCAGGCATGCTCTTTCCACGTGCGCCTCTCGCCATGCACCCGCCTGCTGTCTGCACTGCACCGCCTCTCCTCCCTGCGCGGCGCATCTCCACCCATCAGGTGCGCGCCGCTCTTCCCCTTGTGCCCTGCCCTACCCACCACCACCACAGCAGCAGCTCTCAACAAGTGGTCGCTTGCTGAGTGCATGGGTCCTCTGCTGAGAGCTGCTGTTGCAATGTGCTGCGCCATGATATGGCATGTGCTCTGCTTGCCTTACCATCCGCGTGCACATGTGTCTCATGGGCCATTCCTGTGCAGTGGCATGCATGACACCATGCACCTTGTTCCGCCTCCTGTAGCATTGGTGCTGCTGCTGCATGCGCCATGCACTCATCTTCTGCGTGTGCGCTGCACCCGTGCAACCTCCCCCTCCAGGCCACCTCCCGGCCGCCTTTACCAGCACCGGCGCCGCTGCTGCCATCACCCGTTGCAGTGCCGCCAACATCGCTGCCCGTCCTGCCCGCTGCCCTGGTCGCAGATGCACTGCTGCTCGTGCCGCACCTGCGCACCCTGCTGCAGCACTCCTGCGAACAGCAGGTGGGGGGAGCAGGGTTGGGGGAGGGCGCTGGGAGGCGAGTGAGGCAGCGAGGCTGGTCGATGGCCAGTTGGCTATGACATTTGAACAACAGGAGAGATGGGACGAGAGGGAAATGTGGGTGTGAGAATTGGGGAGCGCGGGGAGGTGAGGACCTGTGGTGAAGTTTCTGGTGACATGAGTTGACGCATGCTTGTGGGTTGTGGTGTGTGTGCATGGCAGGAGGTGCTATTCAACCTCATCAAGGAGCTCGCTGCTGCACACCCAGGTGCCACTCCCCTCCACACCCTGCTGCCACCGCCATATCTTCTGTCGCTTCCATCTATTCCATTTCGTTCATCTCCTCAGAGCATGTGCCATGCATGTGTGTTCCGGTTCACCTTTCGCCTTCGTCGTGTGTGCTGTGTGCGTATATGGCAGTGGTGAGCGCGGCACAGCAGCGACCTGTGCTGCTGGCAGGCATGCAGGTGAGAGCAGAGCAGCCTATCGCAAGGATCGCTTGCACTGCATCCTGTGTGTCTCGTGCTCCCGATGACCTGCACTGACCAAGGGCGGTGTGGCACTGCATGTGTGAGTGTGTGTGCATGGCAGGTGAAGCTGCCAACGGACAAGGAGCAGGTGCTCATGCTCAAGATTGCCGAGATGCAGTGCAAGTCAGTTCTCACTGCTCGCCTTCTCCCGCTAATGCACCTGCAATTTGCTACTCACGGGCATGCAGTGACTTTAAACTCTTCGCGTGCTTGCATCCCCATGCCGCAGTTGCGTTTGACAAGTGCTCTCCTGTGGCCCATCTCATGCAGGTGCTGCGTGTGTGCATGCGTGTGCCCCTGTCCCTGCGCCATGCGTGAGTGCAGGGTGGCGAAGCTGATAGACAATGTGCTCACATACCGCAATCGCAACGCTCAGGTGAGCTGCGCTCCCCGTGATAGTAATCCACTGTTGACAGTTCTCATACACGGGTCTCATACTTACACGTGACCCGTGTCCCCGCCATTGCTGCCCCAACCGCCATCTGCCCTCTCAGGGTCTCACCCTTTCACCCGTCCCAGTGCATGCTCCTCCCATCATCCCGTCTCTCTGCTCACTGAATGCACCAGTGCCCCCATGCTACTAGTATCGCTGTCTCCAGCCTCTGCCCAATTCCATCTTGGCCCACCATGCTTGTGGTTCGTAACCGTGCTGTGCGTGCATAGCAAGGCAACCCGTGTGGTGCTGTGTGCTGCATGTGTGCATGTATGTGTGTTGTGCTGACAGTTGTTGAAGCAGGTGGAGGTGTTCAAGCAGAGGCAGAAGGAGCGCAGGCGACTCATGGCCGCAGCAGCTCCACAGGGGCACGCATGACTGGCAGGGAACGATTGTATTTGTAGCAGCTCCTCTCTGTGTTGAGCCGTTTATATGAGATTATATAATCAACTATGTCCCATAATGCTACGGTATAGTAAGGGGTATCAGAAGGTGCTCCTGCTTGCGGTTATTTCTAAGAGCATGTAAGGGGTTCAATACATGTTGCTCGATCCATGTAAAATGCATACTCATTTGGGAGCTTGCCTGTGATCGCGTGTGACATGCTTCGCGTGTTCAAACTAACGCCGCAAATTGTTTCCTCCCCAGTTCACACGGGTAGCGCGCTCCGATATAGCGCCTCGCACTTGGCAGAGCTCGCTTTGACCGTTCGTCGCGTCACTCACGAGTCTACCGCTGGTACGCGCAGCAGCAGGCGGCGGCGAGAATGGGGAAGATGGGACCGCCGCCGGCCGGCCGCGAGGACAGCGCGGAGCTTGCGCACGCCGCGGACCACGCGGGGGAGGATGGAAGCGCGGGCGCCGGCAGGGGCAGCGGAAGGGACGCGGAGACGGCGTCGGGGACTTCGGGTGACGCGCATACCAGCGGTGCGGAGCTGCGCGTGTTGGAGTTCTACAGCGGTATCGGCGGACTGGTACGATCGCGCAGCCGGAGTAGCGCGCATGCAGTTGCGCGCATGCAGTTGCGCGCATGCAGTTGCGTGCATGCGAATCTGCGTGTTGCGCTCTCTTCGCGCTGCTGCCCACGTGCTCCCCGCATTAGTCTCTCAAGAATCTCCCCGTTACTTCGCCTCCCCCGCGACCTTCCTGCCCGAGCTCGTCCCCTCTTTCTCTTCCCTCACGCCCTCCCCGCCACCCGCCCCTCCCTTTGCGTCTCCCCGCGCGCGCAGCACTACGGGCTGCAGTGTCCCGGCGTGGTGCCAGCGCATGTGACGGCGCGCGTGGTGGCGGCGTTCGACATCAACGAGGTCGCCAACGACGTGTACGAGCGCAACTTCCGCCACCGCCCCAAGCAGGTGCGCGCACGCCGCCGCGCCGCGGGGAGAGGGTTTGGGGTTCAAGGTTGAAGGTTTAGGGCGCGGGAGCAATGGAGAGGGTGTTTGCGTAGCGCGTGTGCGCACCTCGCTGCTGTGCGCGCGCGCGCCATGGTGGCTTCTTCCTCCGCTCGCTACCCCACCATTGTATCTCCACCGCTCCCCTCTCCTCTCCCCTCCCCTCGCCTCCCCTTTCCACCCTGTGCTCACGTGGCAGGGCAACGTGCAGACCATGTCAGCAGCAGCATTGGATGCGTGGCGGGCACACGCGTGGCTCATGTCGCCGCCCTGCCAGCCGTACACGCGGCAAGGTGAGGAGCCGCGCAGTACAGGGGCGCACAGGCGCACCCAGGAAGCATGCGCGCACAGGGGCAGGCGAGGGAGAGTGGGTTGTGCCATTGCCACGCATGCTGGGAACACTGCCGTTCAAGTCCAATGATGCCATGCCTGCCCTCCGTACACCCCACCGCCATGCACAATCTGCACACCTCCCACCCTCTCTCCCCCTTTTTGCCCCACCCCACTCACCCCCCTCCAGGGCTGAAGCGCGACTGTGAGGATGGGCGGGCGACGTCGTTTCTGGCCATGCTGCAGCGCCTGCCAGCCATGCAGCACCCGCCGCTCTTCATCCTCGTTGAAAACGTCCTTGGCTTCGAGGTGCCAACCCACGCTCGCCTCGCCCTCACTGCCTACCTGCCCTGCCACCCGCCGCCGCCCCTCACTCGCCCACACACCCCCCCCTCCTCCGTGTCCTTCCCTCGGTTGCCGGCTCTTTCCATTCCTTTCTTCGCCTCTCATGTTTCCGTCGTTTTTGCCTCCCTCTTTCCTTTCCTCTTCTCTCCCCCTCCTTCCATCTCGCAGCTTCGAACGAACATGACAACCTCACCGTGCAATTGCCATTCCTCGTACCTCCCTGCCACGCACCATCGAAATTATTTCTGGACATTCTCTCAGCAAGCCAACCTTCTTCCTCTCCCTGCCCGTCATCACATTGCCCCCCCCCCCATCAATGCCCTTCTACCAGTCATCGCGCACGCGGCATGAGCTGGTGCGCGTGCTGACTGGCACCGGCTTCACCTCACTGCACGAGTTCCTGCTCTCGCCCACCGACCTCGCTCTGCCCTACTCGCGACCACGATACTTCTGCCTTGTGTGCCCCTCACCCTGCCCCCTCTTCCCCACCCTCGCTTAAGCTGTGCATACCTGCTTTTGCCCACTGTATTGCCATGCTGTCTCGTTACACTTTGCGTGCATGCTTCTCTGGCATCCCCCAAACCCCCACACCCATCTGCCAGTGCCACCTCCGTCTGCTTTGTTTGCTCCCTCATTCTTTCCTTACCCTCCATCGCCCCTGCTGCTGCGCCTCCCTCCCGCTGTCCCCTGCCATGCCGCCAGGCCAAGCGCACCACCCCTTTGGCGGCCGCACTCTGCCACTCGCTGCCCGGCCACCCCTCCTCATCTCTGTCCACTGCTGCTCCCGAGCCTCACACAGGCACCAGTCGGGCCGAGGAGGTCCCAGGGGGGGATGCGAGCGGGGCAGTGGGTCAGGCAGAGGGGGAGAGGGAGGGAGTGGGGGAAGAGGGGGAGGCAGGGGGAGAGGAGGCGAGGGGCGATGGTGTGGCAGCAGCGGGAGTGCTGGGGGGGCGCGACCTGCTGTGGCTGTGCCAGGACGTTGCACAAGGGGAGTGGAGAGAGCAGCGGGCAGCACTGCAGGCTGGTTGCAGTGACGACAGTGGCAGCAGCGGTGGTGGGGATGGTGCGGGGCTCGCCTCTGAGTGTGGGCTTAAGCTGCGGTGCATTGGGGATTTCCTTGACTCGCACCCTGATGCTGCTCATGGCAGTGATGATGACAACACTGGTGCTGATGACAGCAGTGCTGATGTTAGTGCTGCTGATGGCAATGGTGCGAGCAAGGCGAGTGCGTGCGAGGCAGAGGTGCCATCAGCGCAGTCCAGTGCATCGCCATGGGTGCCCTACTGCGTGCCACATGACGTGCGCCAGCGATGGGGGGAGTGCTTTGGTGAGTCGCCTGATGGGGTGGGTGGGAACTGCACGCTCATGCTCTCTCTCCGCCTTCCTCATCTTGTATCACTGCATCTGACCACCTCTTGTTCATGTGCCGTCTATGCGGTGTGGTGTGGTGTGGTGGCATGGCAGACATAGTGACAGCAGCATCGGTGCGGTGCAACTGTTTCACCAAGAGCTACACCAAGTACGCCAAGGGCACTGGCTCCGTGCTGCTCACTCAGGTCCCCCTCTTGCCCCACCCCCATGCCGTCTCCCTCTCTCCCTCTCCCTCGCACACCATGCCATGTGCTCCGCTCGTCCGCCCTGTACCTGCCCCCTGCGCCTCCTCGTGCTCACCTCGCCTTGCCTCGCCTCTCCTCGCCTTGAATTGTCTGCAGGGAGCAGAGCTTGCAACACGACCTCCAGCAGCAGCAGCATCAGAAGGCGCATGTGTGGGTGACAGTGATCCCACCTCCCAGGCCCTGAGAGAGCAGCCGAGCACAGCAGAGGAGCAGCCGTGTGTGCGCTTCAACGGCATCCCCCTCACTCACCTGCCACTGCGCTACTTCACACCAAGAGAGGTGCGTGCTCCTGTCACCTGTACCGTACAAATCTTTCTTGTTGGGCACTCCTTCGTTTTGGTGCAAGCCGCACCAGCGTTCCTCCTCAAGGGGCACCACACCACAGCACAGCACAGCACAGCACAACACAGCAGCAGCACATGTCTCTGTGTGTGTGCCCCTGACCTCGCTGCGTGCGCTTGAACGCACGTGCATGGCATGCAATGCAGGTGGCCAATCTCCACAACTTCCCACGCACCTTCACCTTCCCGCCGCACGTCACCATGAAGCAAAGGTACTTTACCTCCATCGCCTCATCCGGTTGTCCCCCTTTTTCTCGATGCCAACATGTGCACGTGCCGCTAAATTTCTGCCACCAGTCTTTGTCTCATGTGTGAGTTGATACCAGTAGTTTCCTTGCAACCATCTGGCTCACGTGCAATGGGTGTGTTCTCCTTCTCCCTCTTTGCTTCCCCAGGTACGCGCTACTGGGCAACAGTGTGAGTGTTGCTGTTGTCGCTCATCTGCTGCGCCACCTCTTCACCATGCATTGACCATGCCTTCTCCCCCGACTCTAGGCATGGCCGGCAATGGGTGCTAGGCATCATGTGAACACTCGGGTGTTTTAGGGTGTTTTGGATTATTGTATAGAGTTTATGTATTATTCTGTAATGCAGCAGCCATTAGCACAATGGCTGGAATACAGGAGAGAAGAGCTAGAGAGCTAACTACTGCATGCACAAGCAGCTTGAAGCACTGCTGCTGTAGGTGCCAAAAAAGCTGCTTGCGGGTCTATAAGGCCACCACAGGCTGTGATGGGCCATGTCACATGGCACGTGTGACTGAAACTGTACAGGGGGTAAGGAAAGAAGACACTCCCAGACCGCATGGTATATGGGAGGCCAAAAAGCAGGCGCTCCTGCTGTGCTGCTGACAGCACTCTAGGTGCTGCCACTACATAGTGTCATCCCCATATGTGCTTGTCTTGAGCCTCACGCCATGCTCGCGTGGTACGGCATGGACAGCACTTGCACGGCGCCTGCCTCGGCTCCAGGTGAGCTCTCACGCCCCCTGCAACCCCTCTTCCTCCTCCCACCCCCCTCCTCCCCTCTCCTCCCCATACGCCACCCGTCATCCACTCTCCCATCGCACTCGCCTCCTTCCACCGTGCTCCACACACCCGTGCTGCAGCTGTCCACGTCAGCACCATGACACCCAGTGGCATGACGTCCAGGCACCAAGGGAGGCAGTGTCTCACACGCATTATCAGACATGCCATGCGCAGCGGCATGAGCAGCACCGCTGACAACATGTGCTCCTCCATCGTGCATCCCATCAGTCTCTCCCAGAGCAACGCGCAGCCAGGGGTGGGCGAGCACTTGTTGCAGGGAGGGGCGGCGGCGGGGGTTGGGGGCGAGCATGGAGCGAATCAGCCGCACGCACAGCGGCGACACCCCCGCCCACAGCTGCGCGGAGAAATCCGGGCGGTTGCAGCAGATGGCGTGGAAGGTAGCAGGAAGATCCGCGCCCCAAAACGGCACGTACCCCGCGAGCATGACGTATAGCAGCACGCCCAGACTCCACACGTCTGCTGCTGTGCCGTAGGGGCGGCCGCACACGACCTCTGGTGCCATGTAGAAGGATGAGCCTGCCACGCCGCATGCCATCTGCCCCGGCAACAGGCGCACCGCCTGCCCGAAGTCCGCCAGCTTCACACACACGGACTCCAGTAGCGCACGCCGCGAGGGAGATGGTGCAGGGGGGGTGGTGGGTGTGGTGGAGGGGGCGGCGGCGGCGAGGTAGTGCGGGGGAGGGCGCGTGTGCAGTAGCAGGTTCTCAGGCTTGACGTCCAGATGCAGTACTCCGTGCGCATGGCAGAACGCCACTGCTGATGCCGCTTGCCTGGTGGCACGAAGGGGAGAGACGGAGAGCAGGAGAGCAGGAGAGCAGGAAGTTAGTGCATTGAGCACCAGGTTGTGAACACCTTGCACAGCGAAAGGGGCGGCAGCATTGAATGCAGTGGCAGGGCGAGGAGGTTGAGTGGAGAGAGGGGGAGCACGAGCGAAGGGCGGTACCTGAAGATATGCGCGGCGAAGTCTTCAGAGAGGCGGCCGGCCTTGGCGATGAGGTCAAAGAGGTCGCCCCCCTGGCACAGGTCCATGACCAGGTGCACGTGCCGCGCGTCCTCGTGCATGCTCGCCAGGCGCACCATGTTGCGGTGCGGCGGCAGCACGCGCATGCACAGCACTTCCATCGCCACGTCCTCCATGCGCCCGCTCGCCTGCACGCACCGCATGCAAAAGCCACGCACAGCAGCCACGCACGCACACAACGCGGTCAGTCAACGGGAACGTGAGAGGGTGCTCAACGGCAGCGAGAGGTTACAAGAACAGAAAGAAACGCGCAGAGCGGAGAAAGAGCTGAGAGCCGGTATGTGGAACAGAGGAGGAGCGCGTACCAGGAGCGCGGCCTTGTCCAAGCTCTTGCACGCCAGCAGGCGGCCCGTCGCGCGGTGCATGCACGCGCGCACCACGCCGAACTCGCCGCGCCCCAGCTCCTCGCGCGCCACGGCGAACAGCGCGTCCAGCGCGGGCGTGTCGCACGGCAGCACGCGAAGCTCGCTGGTCGCCGTGGCGTCGCACGAAGGCTGTGCGACGCGTGGCTTCGAATCCGTGACGGTGCTCCAGGGCCACGTGACGTCGTCGGGAGTGGATGGGCTGAGAGGAGGCGAGTGGAACGAAGAGCCGTCTACACCGGTCATACTGGCAGCAGCAATGGCGATGCGCACTAAGAATTCACAACGAGCAGCGTTTCTTGGTCCAAGTGGACGTCTCTAGCAAGGCGGGAAGCGGTCTCGCAAGAAACGCGGAGTGAGCGTGATGCGGAATGACGCGAGCGAGAGATATGTTGTTGGAGGGACAAGAGAGTCTTGCGGAACGGAGCGATGGGTGGTGGTGGGGGAATGGGATTCGATAGCAGGGAAGGGCTGCATACATCTCCATGCAGCGACGCCTGGTGATACTAGTAGTATCCTGGAAAGGGTGCTGCTGTGTGCTGTGTGCTGTTCCGCGCTGAGGTCGGCGACTCGAGGGGGCGTCGGACGAGTTACTGTAGATGCGCGCAGCTGCTGAGCCGACAGGCGGAGCGAGGTGCGACTGTGCGGGGGGAGTGCGTGGTTCCGACCACTGCCTGCTTGGCTGCGTCTAACTTATCGCATCACGCCGCCCAACGGATTCCACGCAATCTCCCGCTGCCTTGACTGCCCGGTAGCATTCACGACACGTGATATTTTGGAGAGCCCTGGTTCAATCAGGACAGCGCTACCGCCAGATGCGGAGGGGGCAAGCCCTGATGGAGCCACTGCACGAGGCAGCGCGACAGCAGGGTCCGGCTGTATGTGGCGGGAGAGACGAGCGATGGGCATCACATGCCGGGCACCTAACACCTAACCAAGTTGCTGACATGTGCTCCAAAATTCTCATGGGGCTAGTATCCCTACTTCTTGGTACGTTGCTGGTGTCAATCGGCAAGCCGAACTCCCAAATGACTCCGTCGAAGTGTCCACAACAGTGCTGAGTCAGAACGCAGTTTTCAGCAGCCGTCGGCGCGTGCGAAATAACTGCCAGACAGTTTGCGTATCGGTGCAGCTCCAGAAACGAAGCCCCCAGTATTCAACGAATACAAAAACATGCCCGGAAGAAAAATAATTCCCTAAAATAGCAGGTGATTGGGGAAGCGAAGGCGCATTGGGCCGGGCCCACTGCCCTCTGATTGAGAGGAGTCGCGAAGCGTAACGTATCTATGGAGTCGGTTTGATGGGCGTTGGATATGCTGACAAGGCACGCCATGGTCATGGGAGAAGCACACGAAATGAAGGAAACGGGAAGCAAGGTGGATGCAAAACGGAGACGCAAGGCGGTGCTTGCTGTTGTCGCAGCATGGCCCGTGCTAGTGGTCAGCGGTGAACACTGCTGCAATTCTGGCATGATGAGGACTGCAATTATTGGAGAAATGCTACCGACTGTGAATATTGCGTTAGTTTTAATCAGCTAATAGTATATCCATTTCAAAAGTCACTTAGTTAGACTTATAGAAATTTTGAGAGTTCCAGTCTGATGAGATAATATATCACATAGACACCTGATTACCTATATTTTGAGAAATGAATTGTGTGAAATTATTTTTTTTAATCAACAAAGAGCAACAATATATATGTATATATAAAGCTGGGAAGGGGCTGACTGTTTCTACCATAGAGATGGCATAATTTACAGAATTGAGTTTAGGTAGCATCGAACGTCAAAAGGTACCTTATCGGTTTAAAAGTGACAGCACCTATTAACGAGCTAACATAGTTGTGGGTGGTGAAAGGGGCAAATTCATTAGCTCGGTTTCGGCTTCAGTGTTGAAGCTTCCCTGACCACCTTTGTCCCGTATTTCCGTACTCTCTGATTCTTGCTTGCACCCGCGCACGTGTCTCCGCCATCGTCGCCGCGCTCACCGCTGCCATGCTCTGCTCTCTGCCGCCCCCCGCCTCCCCCGTCTCGCCCGTCGCCGTCTCTTCAAACCCCAGACTGCCTCCTCGCTTTCTCGCCGCTCCTTCCCGCCTCACCGTTCTTCCCCTTTCCGCCTCGCCCGCTCTGCCGCTTCTTCCCCATGCGCCCTCCCTTTCGCGCCCCGCGCCTCCCGTGACCGCCGCCGCCCCGCCATGCGGCAGAGGGCGCTTGACGCGCGCGCGGGGAGGCCCGGCGGCGAGGAGAAAAGCAGCTGTGGCCAGGGCGCACGTGGCGGGCGGGGGAAGTGGGGGAGGCGATGAGGGGGAAGGCATGGCGGTAGCGGGAAGCGCGGACCTTTGCGTGTTTCCCCTCAGGTGCGCTTACTGTGTGGGGGAAGCGGCGGATTAAGCATGTTTCTCTGAGCGACGTGAGAGCCATACGGGCTCTCCGGTGGTAGAGGGGGCAGGGCCGTGCTGCGGCGCCGTGCCATGCATCCTCACGCAATCTTCTCTCGCCATTAACCTCGCCTCGCCCTCCCTCTCCTTGTGTGCGTGTGCGTGTGTCACCAACAGCGGAGTGTGTTTGCCAACTCATTCTGGAGCGCTGAACGTAAGAGATCACACGCATTCCTCACACACACACACACGCTCACCACACACTTGCCACACGTGGAACCATCACATCACGTGCCAGCCTTTATCTCGCACAAGAGCACCTCCCATGGCCACCCTCATTCCCCCGCTCTCCCCTGCCCCCCCCCCCCCCCCCCCCCCCCCAGGTGTTTGAGCCGCGCATGCTGCAGCTGATGGACGTGATCACATACGTGGCGGCGTCCCCCTCGTCCCCGCCCTCCGTGCTGCCGCGCTTCGCCCTGCTGCCCTCCGCCTGGACCACAGCGCTCGCTGCCGCTGCAGCCAGGCAGGGGGAAGGGGGATTGACAGGCCGCGGTGCCTTGACGTGGGGTGCGGACCTGCGTGGGGAAGAGGAGGGCGAGGGGGGTTCGACGTGGTTTGGGGGTGGGGGGCGAGGGAGCAGAGATGGGGGTGCAGAGGAGGGGGTGGGGCAAGGCAGTGGAGAGTGGAGGAGTGTGGAGGATGTGATGAGAGATGCGCCTGTGGGTTGCTCCTGTGTGGTGAGTGCACGCCTGTGTGCTGCTGCCCTTATGCACCGCGTGTGTGTCACGAGTGTTGAAATTGCCTCGCACATGTCATTAATCGCCATGCCGTGCTGTGCTGCCGCTTCAACCATGCACCAGTCTACCACATGCCGCCCATCCTCCATAGCAATCCGGCATCACCCACACACACCAATCGTCTGGGTCCTCTCCCTCCTCCCACACCCACACCCCTCCCCTCCCTTCTCCTCCCCACGCGCAGGTGCACTCGTCGCACACAGCGCCTGACTCCTCGCGCCTGGTGGCATACGAGGCGACTCACCGCATTGTCCCGCGTGCCATGCGCCGTGCACACCCCTTCCTCGTGCTGCTCTGCCACCCGCTGCACGACCACCCACCACTGCCCGCCACGGCACCAGCCCCGGCAGCACAGCTGTACGCAGGGCAGGTGGATGCTGCAGAGCAGCACGTGTGGGAGCAACTCAAAGAGGTCGCCTGGCTCTCTGCTGTCCTAGCCCGCTCCACCTCCTCCTCTTCCTTGGAGAGCCAGCATGAGCAGCAGCAGGGGGCAGGGGGGGCACGGAATGGCACCCCTCCCCCGTCTGCTGCGGCGTCGCTGCTGCCTGCGGCTGTGCTGCGCTTTGGCCCCGATGCCATGACCGGCACGACCCGCCGCGCCAACACCACCGCCCAGGCAGGTCAGTGTGGGTGACCACTGACCAGGCACATATGCACGGACACCCTGCTTCCCCCATTCCATGGAGAGTCCTGGCATGGTCAAAAGGAATGCCGGTGCTTCATTGTGGGTGAATACTTGCCGAAACCAATGCTTTTTCACCTTTCTTATTCTCCCCCTTTCGTTTCCCCTGTTTCGTCTTCCCTTCCCCTGCACCCCCAATCACCCTGCAGCCATCTCAACGTGGAGGAGCATGAAGGGTCCGCTGGCAATGGAGCGGTCGGGCGGTGAGGGGAAGACGGCGAGCAGGGGGGGAAGCGCTGGGGGGGCTGCAGGGGCGGAGGGGGCGTGGAATGACCCGTACTGGGTGGCGCGTGAAGCACTGAGCAAGGCCCGGCGCCAAGAGGCGTTCTCATTCGCTGCCGCTGACATGGTGGGTGGTGTGTGGTGAGGGGCACAGTGCTGTTGGGCTCGCTGCTGTTGCGATGCTATGTGCATGGCACATATTGAAGCATGTGGATTGAACGTGTGTGCAGCCACGATTGCAGCTGCATCCACGACAACAGAAAGGGAAGGTCCCACTCACCCCTGTGTGCTCGTGTGCTGGTGTGTGTGTGGGGCTGCTGCATGCAGGTGGAGTTGGAGCAGCAGCATCGCAGCCTGCTGCTGGGCATGACTTGCACGCTGCAGCGACTGCTATGGGTGAGATGCCGTCATGCCCGTGCAATATAACAGCACATACAGAGGGAGCACGAGCAAGGGGTTGCATGGGGCTGTCTGCTGCATGAGTTGCATGCTTGTGCTCTTCTCTCTACCTGCCAGTGTTCATATGCATGCCACCTTGTGCATCGACACAGCGTCTCATTCATCATTCCTCATTCTGCATCGTACCTTCCGTCCCTCATCCATACAACCAGGTGCAAGCAGCCATCGAGCCCCACCTTGCCTCGCTCCGTGCTGAAATGGCAGTCCGGCGAGCAATGGACTCCTGACACACTGCATGTGAATAACAGGGCTGAAATGCATTGATGCCGTCAGTCAATGGAGGTTGCTGCTGGATGTTCAACAGGCTACTCCAGAATGATGCACCTGTGGCTAGTCTTGGAATGATCGTCTCGCTTTGCCTGCACGGGCATCAATCAGCAACTTCTCATCAAATGGCTCCAACACCTTAGGCCTGCTTTCAATTGCTACACGGATTGTCATCTTGCCATGGCTGACCAGCAAAGCACTTGGCCCAAATAGCTTTAGTCAATCCTAGTGAGGATGGAAGTTTGAAAGACTATCTGGTGCTGTACAGGTAGTTCAATGAAAAAGATCATTGCAAGCCATCCTAAATGTTCCATGTCTTTAGGAGTAATTCGTACTCGTTCCTGTTTCGGACCTTCCCCAAAGGGGTACGGAACTGGATCTGCTGCGGCGCTGAAAGCCGAACCCCTGCTTGAAAGCACGCATATCATCATTTTCATCGTCGATCCGTGCTCATCACAGCAGCCGTCGTCCCAGGCACTCTTCGCGGCAATTGCCGACAACGCACGAGACGGCACCACTGTGATCGCCCGCCAGGGTCGTGGATCTGGAGGCTGGTACGGCGCCGCGCCGCCATGACGTATTTTCACTTCTTCAACTGCGCCGCGCTCTCCTTCGCGCCGCACCTCATCTTCTACAAGGCCACGCCGCTGTGAGTCCCCGCGCGCGCCCTGCCGCGCGAATCCGCCACGCGCGTGCACCGTTAGTACAGTTCGGAAGGGCGCCGCGCGGCTAGTTAACGCGTGACACGCATGGCATTCCATTAATCGTGCGCGCTCCCCACGCCGCTGCATCCCGTGCATGTGCGCCGTTTCTATCCTCTCACGATCTCTCCTGTACCAACCCGTACGCACGTCGCGCCTCCCCTAGTCACGCGGATCCGCGTGCTCTCACCCCTTTTGAACCCTCCACCTCAGTGTAACGGCCTTTCCGCTTTCCCACGCCCCTGCATCCATCCGCATGACAATTGCGCGTGTCCGTGTGAGTGCGTGCGCGCAGGTCGGAGTACGGCACGTGGACGGCGAGTCTCAAGGCGGCGCTCGTCTTCTTCGCCGCCATGCTGCTTAAGGTCAGCCGCCGCCGCCGCTGCTGCTGCCGCTTTTGCTGCAGACACCGATGTTCGTTGGATGGCACATACGTTGGTTGTTGTCCTTTGAGAATGGTGCTGCGGCTTTCGTGCCAATCCCCTTCCCTATCTCCTCTCGCCCGCCCGCCTGCATCTCCTCTTCCCTCCCCCTCCCCCTCCCCCACGCCCCCACGCCCCCCTGTGCGCGCAGATGATCCTGTGGGCGTCGCTTCTGCCCGAGTCCGATCACGACCCCGCGCTCGCCGCCCCATCGCGCCTAGACGCGCGCCAGGTACGCTCCTCCCAAGGGCGTTGCGCCAGTTGTGCGCATCTGCGCCCCTCTCTCCGCGCGCACTTCTCCCCCTGCACCCTGCTTCCCCACGCTGCGCCACAGACTCGTCACCTCCTGCTCGCTCACTCCCATGCCCATCCTCGTGTTGCACTCTCTTGCTGTATTCCTGCAAGCGTCGTTCCACGTGTGCCCCTTCACACACAGACCCTTATCTCCCCAACCCCCACCCCCGCCTCCCCCGGACCTCGTTCCCCCATGCGCGCAGGAGGCGCTGCGCGCGGTGATAGGCGCGGGCGTGGACCTGGCGGGCATGCGGTACGCGCTGGTGCACGTGAGCCACCGCAACATGGCCTTTGAACACAAGTTCCAGGCCGTCGGCCTCGGTAAGCGCTGCTGGGGGGGGGGGAGGGGAGCGGGCAGGGGTGGGGGCAGCGAGGGGGTGATGGTGGCACAGGGTGGTGGAGAGGAGGTGGGGTAGTAGGTGGAAAGAGTGAGCCACGTGTGCACTAGTGATTATTCTTTGAGGTGCACTCACACCCCCTCCCCCGTGCCCCTCGTGTGTGCATGCATAGCTGTGTGCGCCCCTCGTGTGTGCATGCATGGCTGTGTGCGCCCCTCGTGTGTGCATGCATGGCTGTGTGCGCCCCTCGTGTGTGCATGCGTGGCTGTGTGGTGCGTGCATCAGGGTGGGCGCTGGCGGAGTCAGTGAGCAAGCGCCTGGTGCCGCTGTGGGTGGGGGCGGGCGGCATGGAGTTCAAATGGGACTTCCTGCTCGACGCCCTCTCCTCCAACATCGAACTCGTACGCCCCCCTGCTCCCCTCCCCGCCCCCCTCTCCACTTCCCTGCATGCCGTTTCTGCACAGTCTCTGCTTGTATGTGCGTGATGAGCCCAAACGTACCACGTGCATGCCCCACCACCATGCCCCGTGTCACCCGGCATCCCATCACCCACCACCCACCATGCATGTGTGCGTTCGTGCATGCCATGAGCAGGTGTCCACGGTGACTCTCGCAGCGCTGGCCTCGCTGCTCTGGCTGCGCCGCTCCAAGCCGCCTGCCCTCGTGCCCATCATCTACATCGTTGCCTCTCTGCTCGCCGCACTGCCCTTCTCCTCCAGGTTCGCCCCTCTCCTGCTCTCCCTCCTTCTCCCTCTCTCTGCATTACCAGCATGGCCCCATGCCGTCCTGCCATCCACACCACCACCTGTACTTTTCACTCGCACTGCTCCTGCTGCTTCTTTTTATGTCATGCAGCAGCCATTTGCTGCTGGAGTGCTGCAGTCAGTCACTTGCCGCTTGGCAAGGGAAGCAACACACGCACAGCAATGCGGCCACACACTTACCTAGCCATCCTCCATGCCTCCCTGTGTGTGGCTTCCCTCACAGCTTTCTGGAGCACGGATTGGGGTGGCAGCCGTACGAGGTGGCAGGTGCACACCTGGCAGCTTGCATCTCGGCGGCAATCATCACATGGCGCCTCTTCTCCGCCTGCTCACGCCAACCAACGCCTGCTTGACACCCCTCCACTCACCCTGCTGTAGTGTTGTTAGGTTGGTGGCATAAGGTGTCAAATCCCAGCCACCAGCTGCGTGCCTTGTTTGCCCTGTTGCCTTTCCACAGAAGTCTGACAAACCTAGACTAGTGAGGTGTACGTTTGAAGTGAATCCTCTAGTTTATAGACATTGAGAAAACAAAAGAATGTTATGTAAGGATTGAGCAACTATTGCTGTATCTGTTTCAATGCATTTCTGTGTATAAATGGGACGTAGTCTGAGGAGATGTTGTGAAGACTCTTGAGTCCAGAACTACATCTGCCCAGATACTGTATGTGTGAATTATTCTGATTATCTGACTCTTCTGCACCATGCGCTTACACCCAACAGCAACTCGTGAAATGGGATTCTCTTTGCGAGCTTACAGTAAGAGGGCGTGCATTATATTTGACACTGTCATGGCGTCATGAATATAAAAACAGGGACCTGCACTTTATTGTGTATGGGGTATTATCACTGCATGCATCCCCAGCAGCCGCTGGTGGAATGTGGCCGCCCTGCACCAGTAGTCAGTTGATACCAGTTATGGTACCAGTACCACCATTTTGGTTACTTCACTATGTTGTGCTGCCAATTCATGACAGCAATCATGCCTTGCACCCACGCACTCTCCCTCCGCGCTGCCCCACCGCCATCAACACCTCCCTTGACACCACGTACATGCCATGACTGCCAGTGTCCAAGCACTGATATCACAGCTCTTCTTTCACCGCCTGCTTGTCACTTCCTCCGCCTTGCCCCATGCTGCCTCCCAGCGTGTGAGTCTGTGCCGTGTCTGTGCGTCCTGCTCGGTGTGGCACCAGCTCCCGCCACATCTTGCGCGCAGCACGGGAGGAAGGCTCTCGCATGCTGCGTGGAGGGCTCACCTCCATAGCCCTGCCACCTCCCACTCCCCGCCCGCCAGTCGTCCCGCCCAATCCTTGCTGCCTCCAGCTTTCCTGCCCTCCGCCCTCCCTCTCCGTGCCGGCCGCGCCCCGCAGCACCATGCCTCCAGCGCCGCCCTGCCATTCCCTCGCGCCATCTGCTCGGCTTCCTTGCGTCTCGCCTTCTGCCGTTCGCGCCGGCCCTGCGCCGTCTCCTCCCCTTCTCAACCGTTCCACGTCTCCCTCGTTTCCTTCCTTCTCCCCACAACCACCACCAGCATCTCCCCCAATGTTCCCCACTTGCGCCTGCGCGTGTGGTTCCGCTTTTCTCTTCGTTCCGCGCACCTCCTCGTCTCCCAGTTCGGGTACTGCGCCCGCGCTCAAGCCTCGCCATACGCGCCGTGTCTCTGCACCTGCGCCATGCCCCTCCATTCCGCCCTGACCCATCCCCCCTGCATCAGCGCCCCTCCCAGCCCCGCGCATACTGCCTTCTGCTGCCTCCTGCCGCTGCCGCAACACTCTAGCGACCGCAGCGCGAGCAGCGGCGGAGCGTGGTCGGTGCAGCATGGGGGGAAAGGGAGGCGCACCCAAAAGCGGGTCTGCTGCGAGCGGGGCGAGGGCGTCGGGTAGCTGCGCGGGGATTGTGAGGCGGAGGGGCTCGCCTGGCGCGCGGGGGTGCGCGGTGAGGGTGGCGAAGCGGCGGGAGGAGGCGGGTGGCGGAGAAGAGGGCGCCAAGGGCGCGGGCTCTAGATTCTCCCCTGTGCCCTCTGCCGCTGCGCGCTGCTGCGGTGCTCGCAGGCGGGACGACACCATCCAGTCGCCGTCAGCCGCGCTGCCTTGCACGCCGCGCCGCCCACCCTCCTCATCCTCCCACTCGTCGTAGTCGAAATCGTCGTCATCGTCATCGTCATCGTCATCGTCATCGTCATCGTCATCGTCATCGTCATCCTCATCCTCATCCTCATCCTCATCCTCATCCTCATCTTCGTCATCGTCAATCTCCTCGTCATCATCATTGCCCTCCTCCTCCACCTCCGCCGCCACCTCCTCATCCCCACATTCAACATACTGTCCATCTTCGCCCCTCTCCAATCCCCAAATCTTCTCCTCCTCGTGAATATTCCTTTCCGCGCCCCCCGCCCCGTCTTCCCTTTCCCTCTCCTCGCCCACTCTGCTCTCCTCCGGTTCCTCACCCGCACTGCGCGTGTGCGATTGATTGGCGCTCCTCGCCGCATGCGGCCACCCATGGCCCTCTGCTCCATCACCGGCTCGTCGTGTCGACCATCTACTCGTCACTCTCTCGTCTCCCGGCACCTCTTTCTTTGAGTTACCCATCTTTACACGTGCACACCATGCGACGCCCTATATCCTTATCTCGCTAACGCTTTACGACATAACTAAGCAGCTGGCGCCTAGAGAAAAGAAAATACCTTTCGCGAGGGAGAAAAAAAACAGTTCCTATCGTTCCACAGTTTCTTAACAAAGTAATGAGACGGGCGTCACTACGAGAAGGGGAATTTGGTCGGGGAGGGGAGCGTGAAGGGGGAAGACGGGGGGAGAGATTCACGTAGCCATGTGAGCTCATGGGTGGCGGACATTAGCGGCTTGAGGAATACAAGGAGCTGCATCTGGGGTAGCGAAGAGGCGGCATGGATTCCGAAGCGAGAGGGAAGAAAGGAGGAGGGGCGTTTTCCTCGCATCGCGCCAGCCAATCATTGAAGCAACACAACGTCGCATTTGATCAACACAACAATTATCGGATCGCGTTCGCATGGCAATGTGACGTCTTGGTCGAAACGCCCCTAGCCTCGCCAGATATATCCGTCAGCACACTTCATACCCGGTAACCTCACTTTGGAGACTCAACATAATGCAAGCTAGGCGTTCATAAGCAATTTCCAAAACAGAATTAGTTTATATGTATAAACATTACCAGTGTACCCCTTCAAACAGTGACATATGCATGCAACAGCATAACTGCGTAGGACATTCGTTTTTTAAGCATGCACGTGGTAGTATTATACTTGTGCTGAAGGTGGCCTGCACTGAGAGGGTGCAAGCGGGCTGGCGTGACTAATGAAATGCGCAGTGTCGGCTGTCTCCCCTACATCATCTGCATTGCGCTGCCAGGACCAGTCCGCCTCCCCTGTGCTGGCTCCTCCCAACACCTGGAAGCGGCCATGGCCGAACGAGGCCTCCCTGAATGCAGACCACCCAGGTTTCTTGTGGTAGCTGCATGGATATACAGGGATACAAAGGAGATGGAGGAAAAGGTATGAATGTGTGAAGCACAATAGAAGATCGCGCACAAACAAAGAAACTGGGGCTTCACCAATATGGCCAACACAACGCAACACCCACAATTGGTGACAATTTAGTGGGGGGAAGCCAGCAGGAGCAAGAACGAGCAAGCAGACGTTGATTGAAACTGCCAAGATAGGGGAGGAGGAATGGCTGCCAAGATAGGGGAGGAGGAACGGAACGACACCGTACGTGGAATAAAGGCCTTCTCTGTTGCCACCGTCGCCTATAGTTACATGGACTATGCCGCAGGGGTGTGGGCTCCCGTTGAATATGCGTTTCTGCGAGTACAAGTGGTGCGCGCACAGCACCGGAAAATCGAATAAGGACCAGCAGAAATGGAAGAGGAACAGAAGAGAAGGATTACACATGGCCTTGAGGAGCGGGAGAGCGGGATTACACAAGGCAATAAAGAAGCAGCAGAACTTGAGTGCAAGAAGGGCGGTGGATCGGAGTGGGCAGCGGGAGCATACGGATCGCTCGTAGGCGTGCACGTGGCCGGCAAAGAGGATGTCAGTGCGGGCGGCGAAGAGCAGCCCCTCGAGTGCCTGGCGCATGGGGCGGCCGTCCTCCGCATGGCGCGCGTTGGAGCTGTACCATGGCTCGTGCAGCACCGCCACCAGCCATGGCGTGCGCGCCCTGTCCACCAGACCCAGGTCCCTCTGCTCCATGGATGCATGATAGGCGAGAGGGAGGAAGGCAGGGAAGAAGTTGGTGATGGTTCAGGTGACAGGAGCCAAGGAAACAGGCCATGAAAGCCATGTGCAGAAAAAGCCATGAAAGGAGGAGAACAGGATCAGAAGAACGATAGCTATTGCAGCATGGCAGGGGACGGCGCGGGTGGGGTTGAGATGCACCTTGAGCCAGGTGTACTGCCGGGAGCCGGGGAGGAAGCCCGAGTAGGAGGAGAGCATGACCCAGTGGATGCCCGCCGTGTCAAACGAGTAGAACAGGTTGGACGGCGACCCGCTGGCAGCAGCGGGCATGCGCCAGCGCGCGTTGTACGAGATGAAGCCGGGCAGGAAGCGCGAGAGCGACTCCTGGTCGTGGTTGCCTGGCACGACCATCCAGGGGCGCGTGCTGGCGTAGGGGTCAATGAGCGTGCTCCAGCTGTCCCAGCGCCAGGGGTTGAAGTCGGCGTACGAGAGGTCGCCCGGCACCACCACCATGTCGTGCGGCCGACTGCCCAGGTGCTTGAGCGTCTTCACCGTCCACCCACTCTGCCCCAGGTCACCTGGTGGCGGTGATGGTGGTGCAGAGGCACGGTCATGGAGTCATGGGGAGGAGGTAGACCAGTGTGGGAGCGGAAAACATAGGATGAAAGAATTGAGCCACGAGGCGATGCAGGGAGACCGAGGGAATGGAGAAAGATAGGCAATCACAGTTGGTGAGAAAAATGAAGCAAACAATGAGCAGTTGGCCGTGCATGTGCAAGGAGGCGGGTGCGCGCACCAACGATGGCGATGTCCATGGCGGCATCAGCGGCGGAGGGCGGCGTCTTGAAGGAGCGGCGCTTGCCCTTGCGTCCCATGCGGTAGTAGTACACCGTGTTGCCCGCCAGGGGCTTCTCTGCTGACCCCACCACCACGCTGTGGATGAACCCTGACCTGCGCAATGGGCAAGGGGGATACATGCGCGGAGGGCGCAGGGGAGAGGGCATTGCTGTATGGAAGCGCGTTCGCGCACGCAGGGCCGAGCGGTGGAGTGTGGTGGAGTGCGGGGCAGTGCGGTACAGTGCGGTGCAGTGCGTGCGCGGGAGGAGCCGCACCTGTAGAAGAGGAATTGGTAGGAGGAGGAGGTGCCGCGCGAGAGGCGGTTGAGCGCGTTAGGGTGCAGCCCCCACGTGACGAGCGACAGGCATCGCGGCTGGCTCGTTATCCACGTGATGCGCATCGTCAGCGCGCCCGCTGATGCACTCGCCAACGACACGTGTACCTGCCACGCGCATGCACCACACACAGATAAGGCAACGGGCCTGGGGAGAATGAACGACTGGCTTGAGTGTGCGTGCACGAGGCATGCAGCCGCGCTGCTTTCACCCACCGTCATGCCTTGCGATTCCTGGCACTCGTCGCCACCCACACGCGACCTCGTCAATTCTCCTCCCTCTCTATGCACCTAGCTGGAGAGCTCAATCATTACGACGGTGCTAAAAGCGTGTGCGTGCATGGTGGCAACGCACCCACAACGCCCCAGACGCACTTATAGCCCGCCCCACGGATCGCACCACCGATATCACTGCCTCCCTTGCCACCATTCTCCCCTGTCTCCCACCCCTCCCATCGCTCTCCTCGCTCATCTCACTCCCCTCTCACATGCTCTCCCCCTTCTGACGTGCAAGCGGGTTCAATGCAGCGGGCGGACCTGCTGGGGGATGGGCGAGCGCTTGAGCCATTTGATGATGGTGGGACCGAGCGGGATGCGCGGGCGCGCGTTGGGGCGCACGTACATCTCCACCACCTGCTTCGCCACCTGCCCCGCCTCCCCCACCGCGTGCGCTATTTTCTCCGCCGCCTTCCCCACCCTCTCCACTGGCCCGCCGCCCCCGCCGCTGAGCGACGCTGTACTGTTGTGCGACGCTGAACTGTTGAGCGACGCTGTACTGTTGTGCGACGCTGTACTGTTGTGCGACGCTGTACTGTTGTGCGACGCGGTACTGTTGTGCGACGCGGTACTGTTGTGCGACGCGGTACTGCTGTGCGACGCGGTACTGTTGTGCGACGCTGTACTGTTGAGCGACGCTGTACTGTTGAGCGTCGCTGTACTGTTGTGCGACGCGGTACTGTTGAGCGTCGCTGTACTGTTGTGCGACGCCGTATTGTCGAGCGACGCGGTACTGTTGAGCGGCGCGGTACTGTTGAGCGACGCGGTACTGTTGAACGACGCTGTGTCGTTGAGCGACGCTGTGTCGCTGAACGACGTTGTGCCGTTGAGCGGTAGAGCGTGAGCGCCAGCCGAAGAGCCGTGGAGAGCGCCCACGACGGAGGTTGGTCGTAAGAGCTGTAACAATGCGCGGGGAGAGGCGGACGCGGGGAAGCAGGCGGACGCGGAGGGGAGTGCGGCGGTGCAGGCGGCCGCAGCGAGGGAATGATGGGAGGGCGACAGCAGTAGAAGCATAACTAGGTCGAGCGTAATGAGCTGCACTCGCGACGCGAATTCACGGCGCCTCTTGGGCATGCCTTGAGCAAGTGCCATGAAAACTTCAGGATGGCGGCGGCACGATCAGCAAGGGACCACTGAAACGTGATCAGCGTTGTGTTGTGTGAAATGACGCTGATAATGAATTCTGGTGGAAAAGGATAAGTAGCACGGCACAGCACACCCTTACTAAGATCACGACCACCAACACGCACCCTGGATAAGCTTCTTCGCGTCTCGGGTGTGCTGGTGCACCGTTTGCCAAGCTGCGCTGGTTGCATCCAATCACCGCTTGCTGTGGCTTCGCTTTGCGCTGCTTGCATGGTGCAGCGCAGCGCGGCGACTGCACCCTCCCTGCTCCAGCAAAGTGATCAGATTCACAACCCTTTTTAATCACAGGTTTCTGAACGGCCCTGGGTTACCCCCAGCAGTTCGGAATCAGTTCGTGGTTGCGGAAACAATACTGGTGACATATTTCACACTACCTAGTGCCAGCACTGGTACATGACGGGGGCAGAAAAGGGGCCAGGTGGGGCAAAGGGCGGATGGGTTAGTGTGGGATACACCTTGCCCGAATGTTTGAAGTGGACCGCAGCAAGGGACACCTTACTGTGAAATTAGTTTCATGCATGGACTCGACATCTCCGGCAAGATGCAGTGGTCTTCGGCTCGCGATTCCCCCGATTTATGATGGCCTCCAACCGGAAAGGGTAGATGATACAGTAGCAGCAAAGTATCTGCGGTGGTTGGTTTCAGCATACAGCGTAGCTCTGTGACTCGTCAGAATACCCGTGTCGGAGGGGAGGCTGGCGAACACACAGCAGCCTCGCTGTGTCGGTGCAGGCAGGTCAGGTGTCAGAAAATCAGCACCTGAGCGAAAACAGGCTTGAACCCGCATTTGCTCAAAGCGGGGCTTTTCGTACTGTTCCTTTAGCGCGGTCCAGAAGGTTAGAGAACTACATTTGCTGTAGAACATGGCACATTAGACTGAACGGTAGTCAAATGTGAATTAATAAAAATGACACGCCCTCAGATAGTTTTCCTATAAACATGACACCAACAATGCTTTTGTGTGGTACTACCAGTCAATGTGTCATGAGTGTAGTATGGCTTATTTCACTTCCACCATGAACGACCAACATACCCTGACACAGAAAGCAAAAATGGGGAACAAACATATGGGGATACCTGGGAAACAAACCATTCATATGCTGAACCACCCCTTCCAGTGCAGAAACAGTGCTATCTAGAAAGTGTAAGCTTGGAGAAGGCAGTGGCAGCCTGGTCCACGCCTAGCAGCAGGTATGGGTGGCGCAGGGCCTCTGCAGCGGAGAGGCGTCCCTTGCGCCACGTGCCCCTCTCGCACACAAGGCGTGTGGCGAGATCCCAGCCTGCCCCGCCCTCCAGGTCCAGCACGCGCAGATCGGGGCGCATGCGCGTCTCCCTGCGCCAGCGCTTGAGGTCGTAGCGCGCTGCCCTGAGCTCCTTCTTGAAGGTCTGCAGGCCTGCTGGCGAGCGCAGTGTGGGCGAGGCCATTTGCAGGAAGATGATGCCCACACTGTACGTGTCAAACAGGTCCGGGTGGTTCAGCTGGTGGCGGGGGGGGGAAGGGGCATCGCACAGGACAGTTGCACACAAGGTCAGAGACAAAGGGGTGGATGGGGTGAAGAAATGAATGGTGAAACGGGGATGAACAGGAAAGAGCTGGGAGTGGAAGGTCCTGAGGCATACCTGCCAGAGTGCTGGGGAGAGCATGGCAGCGATGGGCGCAGGAGGTGGGCTGGGTGTTTCCTCAGGCAGCACAAACTGCTCCGGGGGGGCATAATCCGGGTCCAATAGAGCGAGCTCGGGCTCGTAGTTCATGCCGATGCGCAGGTCAGCCGCGGCTCCAAAGTCAATGAGCTTCACACGGCCACTGTTGGTGAGGACGAGGTTGGAGGGCTTGAGGTCGCGGTGCACGATGCCCGTGGCGTGCATCTTCTTGAGTGAGATGAGCACCTGCCGCAGCACCTGCTTCACTGTCACGGCCTGCCGGGCCACCGGGTCCAGCCCCTGCAGCACCACCTGCCCGCGGCCGAAAATGGCCTCCTCCACGTTGTCTGGGAAGTCCCTGTCTCGGATGTAGTCCAGCAATGTGCGGTCGCCCTGCCACCACACAGCCAATTAATGCTGCCGCTGTGAGAATTGCTCATACACGGCTATGAAAGTGGAAGTGGCAATACCGAAAGATGGCTTGGCTCATGGGGCAGAAAAACAATGCTGAAGTAATCACGCAGAGACAAGGAAGAAGGTTGGCTGACCTCATAGTTCCAGACGAGCCACTTGCCCCCTTCAGTGAACTGAGCGCGAGTGACGTCAGCAGTGAAGGAGCCCATGAAGCGTGCACAGGCCTCAGGTGCCACGCGCTGCATGCGGCGGTTGAACCACTCCTCCATCTCCCCGCTCTGCTCCCCGCCCATCACTCGCGTCTTCACCTGCACTCCAGTGCCAGTCACACGGGAGGGGACACATGGTGTGAGGAAGCGGGGGTAGCTGTCGTGCACAAGGGGTTAAGTGGGGTGCTGAAACAGGAACATGTGTGGAATGCGCGGGCGGGGGGCACAGAGGGATGGTGCCGGGATAGGAGAGAGCAGAAACGGAAAAGCAGGAGAGGGAAGGTGGAAAGGAGAGGAAATGCAGGGGTGGAGAGAGATTCTGGAAGAAGGGAAGGTGCTTTGGGAACTTTGATATGCCCACACATACTAGAAGATGGATAGATGAAGGAAGGGGAGCGAGCAAGAAGCAGGGAGGGGTGAGAAGGGAGGTGAGACGCATAAGGTGGGCGAGGGATGTGGCATTGGGCGAGCAGCACGCATAACGCGCATGAGACAAAGGGGGTACCTTTTTGAGAATGACTCGGCTCTTGATCTCCCTCTCATCCAGGTCCTCCAGCTGCCTGGACCTGCGCCCGAACTCCTCCTCGTCGCCCGCCTTGCCCTTCTTCTTCAGCGCGCCCTGCACCGCCACAGTCACGGTCACAGCAAGCGGGCGGGCACACAAGGCGCTCAGCGCGTGTGGCGCAGCCACGCAACGCGTGCGCAACTCTCAAGCACACTGCACTCCTGCCTACTCTGTCTAAGCGGTCACTGTGTTTCCGGAACCCCTCTACTGCATCCTTCCATCATGCCATCGCACCATCATGCCATCATGCCAAACAATGTCCGAGCTGGTCACAGCGTGGGTTTGAGTTCCAATGGTTCCTTCCATCTTTGCCGCCACATTCCTTTACAACTTCATCAGCCAGCTTCTTATCATACCACTGCTTCTCTCCCTCACCTCTTCCCCACCTACATCCCGCTTTCCCCCGCCGCGTCCCTTCCCCACCGCGTGCGCGCTGCACCCAGCGTACCTCGTACACGGTGCCGAAGTTGCCTTCGCCCAGCCGCCGTCCCACCACGAAGTCCGTGCGTCGGAACTTCCGTCGCCCCCTCACCGTGTCGCTCAGCGACTGCAGCGGCGCCGCAATGTACGCGTCCAGGGCGCCGGCCAGCACGCCGGGCCGCACCGTCAGGTACACGTACAGCGCGCCGGCCGCCGCGAGCTGCGCGATCTTGTCATCGGCGGGCTGGCGCATGAAGTCCTTGAGCGCGGAGGAGAGCGCAACGAGCGCGTCCCCCGGGCGGAAGTCGGGGAACGTGAGGTCGAGCTCCCCCCCAAGCAGCTCCAGCGCCTCCTCGCCCGCCTCCACCACGCTCTCCACCCCCCACCGCTCGCCCTCCGCCGCGCCTCCGCCGCCGTCACCCCAGGACAGCAGAGAGGACGGCTCGCGCAGCAGGCGGAAGAGCGTGGGGTACTTGGCGGACAGGTCCTCGCCGTCGCTGCTCGCGGGCGCTGCTAGCGCCGCGGGCGCAGAAGCGACTGATGGAGGCGCGGCGACAGGGAGTGCGGCGGGCGGCGCGGGCGCAGGGATGGTCGGCGCGTCGGCGGGAGGATCGGACTGGTTTGGCCAGTTGAGCGGCGGCAGCAAGTTCTGCAACGCGCTCTGCAGCCCGCTTTCGAGCTCCGCTAGCTTCTCCCCTGCGTCCGCCATCGCGTCTGCCGCGGCAGTCAATGCAGGGGCGGGCGCAGCAGCGGGTGAGGGCTCGGCGGGCTGCGCTTCAAGCGCGCGCATGCGGAAGGGGTTGCTTGCGCGCGCCAAGATATCGTCCGCTTCATCCGCCGCCGTGTCGTCCGCGTCGCTGCCCTCCATGGCGCCCCGCATCGCCATGCGAATCGCATCCTCCACCGACCGCGGCGGCCCCATCGCATCGCCCAGCACCACAGCATCCACCACCGCTGCCGCCGCGCGCACGTCCGCCGATGCAACGGATTGCTCCAGACGCAACGACGGCTCGATAGCAGGCAGCGACACGCTCACGAGCGTCTCAGCATCGGCCGCCGCCGCACCAGACGGCGCAGGCGACGCATCCGAGAGCGGAAACGCAGTGGGGTCGAGGATTTGAGTCGGGAAGGAGAGGAGGGGCAGAGGGAGGATGGGGGAGTCAGGGGTGGATGCGGGCAGTGGCGCGACCTGGACTGCGAGCTCCAGCGACGACGGCAAAGGAGCCGGCGATGAAACGTCGGTCACGTCGGCAGCCGCAGCATGCACGGCGAGCCCTCTCCTGCCACGGCGCGACCTGGGAGATCCCAATGCCACCTGCAGCTCGCGCGACCCGCATGCACCAGCTCTCGCAAGCACGCCCTGTCGGAACCAGGGTCGGCTCCCGCAGAAGACGCTCTTACATTGTGAGAGCAGCGACAGTTGCCCTACCGGGGAGCAATGGACCGTCGTACTCGACGGCAAGGACGCATCAGCGGCAGCCGGCAGCCATTGAAGAGATGCTGCTGCCATGGCTTGCCAAGGGGCGGTCACAATGGATCGCCGAAACAAGGTAGCTGGTCGAGTGCTGGGCAGGGCGGTTGTGATGCGAATGCAGCCAGATCATGCTTGGTCTCCAGAG